ACTGACTTTTTGTATTTGTAAAAGGTTAGCTAGAGCTAATGTGTTTATGGGAAAAAAGCCCTAAGGTTCTGGCAAAAGGAAGCTGCTTGGAATTGGTTTTACAAAATCAACCCACTCCTTATGCCTGTATAGAGCAGCCACCCTGGCACTGTTAAGAAATAGCTGTTTCTTTTCAACAAGGTTAGAGCCTGTTTCTAGGAAAAGAGGCACCAAGCCGGACCCAGAAAGGGAAATCTAATTATTTAGTAATATTGCCCTGCATCACTAAAGGAAGGCACACATTCTAACGCATGTGCAGATAGGTGACTTGGTCATTGTGTGAATAAAACGTACTTATACAAACTAAGACATCAAGATGCCGGCAATGTCAGGAGGCAACATAATCTCATGAGACTACCACCATCTATGCTGTCCACCACTGGCTGGCATGCAGCACATGACTGTAGAAGCAAAGCCACCATCATTTAGTGACCATCTGTTAAATACCAGGCATTGTGCATACAGCATATTCTCTATAAGATTAAAGTACTGTTTTTATCTTCTACACTGGAAAAAAATTAACACTCAAGAAAGTGACTTGCCCAAGACCACACAGCAAGGTTAAAAGTAGCTCACTTCTCAAAGGAGCAGAAAAACAAAGCTCTTCCTCCAAAATATTCCAAAAGAATTGGAAAAACATTTGTATTCTGTAGATCTGCTAACAGTTTAATAAATTCTGCTTACAAGCAAAAATTATGCTGTGATACTGCTTCTCGCTTCTGGGTTAACTGTAACCACTGGGCACCGCAAGTGGGGCAGAAATGCTTGTTCCATCCAGGGACTTCCAGGGATGGATCGCTGTCGTCTGCATCCTACACATCTCTTTATGAGACTCTGTGCTGATATACTGTCCAGATGTCAGGTCCAGTCTACTGTCTGCTGTTGTATGGTCTACAAGTAAGAATGGCTTATACATTTTGTTTTTGTTTTTGAGACAGTCTATGTAGCCCAGGCTAGCCTCGCACTTGCAGTGACCCTCCTGCTTCAACCTTCTGAATGAAAGGATTACAGATGTGTGCCATCACACCCAGCAGGTATCACCACGCCTAGCATCACATATTTCTAAGTGGATAAAAGTTTAATATTTCATATTTGATGAAAATTGGATGACATTAAAATTCTGATATTCACAACTATGTTTGTATATGTGCTTTGTACATATGCACTGTCCTACAGTTTTTCTCAGTACAATGGCAGGGATGAGAAGTTGCAAGAGATCCTGTGGCCTCTCAATCCCATAATATTTACTGTTTGGCACAGAAGATGCAAAGTGGTGACCTCTGGTGTAGTGGTTTATAGCCTGATGCACCAGCCCCACCCCCAAAGCTTCATGTGCACAGGGTAGGACTTTATGGAGGTGTTGACCTGGGGGCTGTACAGCTGACTTGCTGTTAGGGGGCCCTGTCTTATCAGAAGAGGCTGGTCCCAGGGATGTGGGGGGGGGGGAGGTTTCTCCCTTTCCTGGCTCCTCCATTGCTCTTTGCTTCCTTGATGACTTAAAGTGAGCAGCTTTCCTCTCCCTACACCTCCAAGTGGTTTCTATGTTTGAGCCTGCCAAACATGGACTGAAACTTCTAAAGTGTGAGCCAAAATTAACCTCTCCTCCTTTAAGATGTGGGTGGCAGGTGTTTTGTCCCATGATAAGAAAAGTAACTAAGACACCTGGTCTACACACCTGGTACCATGACCCATCGTGTTCCTTCATCAAAGGAAGCCATACCCTTAACCAATGTGCTGCTCACTTCCACTAAGATGCGCATGTGCTAAGAACTGTTCCTCAGTCGCCCCTCACCTGTCACTCCCTGAGCTGACATTCTCCTGTCATACTGCTGGCTCCTTCATACCGAGTTAAGATCCATGTGCTCAGGATCAACTTGTCAAAAATAAAATGTTCTTTGCATTTTCAGTGTGAAGAAAGGTTCATGTCTTAAAAACAAACTGACAAAAACAAGGGACAGAAGCAGCAACACATAATGACTAAGGGGAGAGGAAGTCAGTGCTGACCCCAGGCTTGGTCCCAAGCCTTCGGGCATCACTGCAGCTCCTCCTGACACCAGCTGTGATGGACTCAGGGCTCCAACCTTCACAGGACCAGAGAGACAGCTCTGTTCCTATCTTCTCCCTGTTACAGACAGGAAAATGAAGCCTGGGGAGGCCACAGAAAGCCAGGCCATAAAGTGGATGCACAAGAGAGATGGCACAGGAGGAACATGTGCCAGGTCCACAATAAGGACACCAAACCCACTAGGATCCACTCGCCATCCTGAACTTGAAGAATGTCACAAGTTCCTGGCCTTTCCATGCTATTTCTCACTGGTGAACAGTGATGAGGTAAACACATAATGATTAGTCATTATATGTTGCTGCTCACGTCAGATGCAAACAATAGTTTCCCCCTCCTTAATCTCCTACATCTGTTGTATTTACACAAACACAAATTCTAGATGGTTTTTATGTCCTTTATGGGTTTTTCCTGTATTTAAAAAAAAAAACCTTAAGAGGCTACGCATGGTGACAGACACCTATAATCCCAGCACCCGGGAAGTTGAGGCAGGAGGATGCCTGAGAGTTCAAGGCTAGCCTGGGCTACAAAATGAGTTCAAGGCCAGCCTGAACTGCAAAGTGAGACTCTGTCTCAAGACCAAAAAACAACAAAAAAATTTAAAATAAATTATTATAGTTACATATAGAATGAAAAATAACATCAGCATTATAGAATTCAAAATACTTTGTATTTCCTTTTCCAGGTCTGGTAAGACGGTAAAGACAGGGAAGGAAAACCAGTTATCCCATTGCACACAAATACAAACTTTACCTTCTTATAAATACTGTGAATGCATTCAAATCTTCTCTTTTGTACACTTTCATATTTAAAATCAGAAAACTTCTCCACAGGGTTTTTTCTTTCAGAATGCGAAAGTTGAGAAGAAAAAGAAACTCACCCTTGGGGCTGGGGATTTAGCTTAGCAGCGTAAGTACCTGCCTTGCAAGCAGGTGGTCGTGAGTTCGATCCCTGGTACCGATAAAAATGAGAAAGACAAAAAAAAAAAAAAAAAAAGCAAGAAACTCACCCTCAAGATAATCTCGGTTTCCTCCTAAGGAAATTATAAGTTTCCTTTACAACCATAACTTAAGGCACCATAAGCAGATCACTGCCCTGTCTGCTCCTACAGGAATCCCTACATGAGCAGTGGGATTGTTTCCCAACCTTAAACCCTAGGTGAGAGCGCCTCCAGGTGGGTCAGCCGGGTATCTGAGCTCAATATGCCCCAGGAGCCCTTCTCACTGGGAGAAGCAGGGTCATTTCTGCAACCTTATACTCCCAGACTCTCGTCCCAGACCCAGGTGGGCTGCACAGAGCTGCTACCCTCACCTGCTTTTCCAACTCTGGCTGCCTCTAGGTAAGCAGTAGATGGGTGCAACAGAAGACATTTGGGCACCAGATGGCACAAAGTTCCTTTTTCTTCCCCCTCTTAAGTTTATTACATTGTCAAAAACAAAGTGTTAGAAGACGGGAGTGAAAGCTGGGCCCTCTGAGGGTGCGTGAGTCCCGAGCTTTGAGCTGTGCTCAGTGCTCCCATCCCAGACTCTGTGTCCAAATTCCCTGCCATGGCTGCTCCCACCACTGTCCTGCTGTGTGGCTTCTCTCAGAAAAATGACTCTTTATGATGAACATCTGTATGATGAACGATGGCTGGTATAAGTATTAAAGGAAGTAGTATTAAGACTGAAACATGTTGTAGAAATACTCAAAATGACATACTAGGCAAATCAAAACAGGCCTGAAGCCCAGGTGCAAATTGTTAATTAATCAGTTTTACTACACCTGGGACAAAATACCCACTACCACCTATTTACAGGAGAGACTATATTGGTTCAGTGTTAGTGGATGCAGTCTGTAGTCAACATGCTTACCACAGAAAGGGTATGGTGGAAAGGCCTAGGGGAAGAAAGCTGCTCATGTCATAGCAGCCAGAAAGGAGAAAGTTAGAAAGGAAGGATAAGGGAGAACACACTCTTTAGGTTGAGCCCCAAGTGACTCCCCTCCGACACCACCTCCTGACAGCAAATTTAGCCATAAACTCGTCAACGGATACATCCATTGCTGAATATAGCTCTCTCATGATCCATTCACCCTCCAAAACCACACCTCTGGACATATGAGACTTTCGGACATTTTAAACCTAAACCACAGGAGTGGGGAAGCTGTGCGAAGGAGCTTTCCTGTAAGAATTGCTGTCTTCAGCTGCTGTCTAGTCAGAGTGAATATGGCTCCCAGAAGCCCTCAGCCAAAGCCTTGACCTGCACCAACATAAAATAAATTGTTTTTCTCATTTTCCTTCGAGAAAACAAGAGGAGCTGCAGAGTGATGGCCATTACAGCAGCAGGCACCACTGCCCATCACATTTGCAGGTACCCTTACTTCCTTACTCACTAACTTATCTCACTGTCTCCTCAGTTCTATGAGATGGGAATTCTTCCCCCGCTTGACACATGAGTATTCTGTGGCGGCCACACAAGGAAGAAGCGTGGGAATCCAGACGTATCAGAAGCACAGGTCTGGAGGACCTACTGCATGTCCTCACGTCTCCTGCATCCAACTTCCTACCCTTGGAGTCTACAGTTCCCCAGCACTAACAGCAGCCTCTTCCCAAGTTCCTATGTCTGACTTCGGTTTGTTCTGGTTGTTCCACACAATAGAGGGAAGGGAGTGTGGGGCTGTGAGGAAAAAACAAAACAAAACTGTGTCAAGAACAGCCCTTCAAATCCAGTACAGTAACAGTTAAAGTAAATTAATATAGTAGAATAGCCAATTAGCAAATTCACTGATAATTCTTTTGTTTACAATTCAATGGTCAATCACTTTTCAGGTTATGATTTGAATTTGGTGCTAATCCATAAATGTGTGGACAGGCCTATTTCCATTTTGTGAAATACATGATACAAAGTTTAAAAAATACTCATGGAAAAATAAAGCACTTATTTATTATTGCTGTAACCAAGGCAAAAATCTCTTAAAACAATCAGCCTTGATAAAGGAAGTAGAATCAGAGCCAGTACTCACAAATTTACAGTTCATTCTCTGTTGTTGAGACTTTACTCTTTCACATATACCATCTACCACAAGACCTTTATTATACAGGAGGAAGAACTTGGAAGTTACATAGTATAGCTTAACTATCTGCCTAGTTCTTGACTTCAAACCATCCAGTCCTATGAATCCATTTCATCCTATTTTAAAAAACATAACAAACCTGCCCCCGTGGAGGATCAATTGAGAGAATATGAATGGAATTGTAGTAAACTCTAAAATTTATACAAAATACCAATGCAAGGGGGAGAGGATTCATCATGGAAGTCTAAGTTTGTGGAAGCCTGCAAGACAGTCACCCAGAATCTCAAATTGTGGGGGATGACCGAGGAAAAAGGATATTAATAATCAAACTTCCAGAAGTCTCTAGTTTGACAAGCTATGTAATATGGACCCAACTACTATACCTAGAAACACTGTCAGTTTTATTTTACCTTAATATACATTTATACAGGCAATAATAAAAAGGCAAACACAACAATTCAGTGAGTTTTTCCTAGTTTCAAGAGTAATGCATGCAGTTACAAATGAGAGGTAGAAACACTGTATTAAAGACCTAAAAAATACAAACATCATATAAACAAATGTTCAAATTAACTGCTGGAATTTCATACAGATAAATAAGGTTAAAATTACATTATTTTGTCAAAGTAAAGGAAAACCATATTTGTTTCTATTTCTATCATACACTAAAATTAGAGTAATGCCAAAGAGCTTCTTTGTGCAACTGTCAAAGTTCAGATTATTGTAGGTAAAAGGATTAAAATAAAAGGATTAAAACTGGTAAAAGTCTTTATTCAAGTATTCAAGCAGGTAAGTAAAAGAAACCAAACAATATACAATGTAGGAACCATTCCCAGAGGGATGTTAACTGCCTGCATTCTCCATGACTAGCTATTTGGTGAACTGTCAGGATTAACATTAAAAAATATACATTAGGCTGGAGACAGTTGCCCATTGTCTTAAGAGAAAACAAACCTCCTTTTTCAATAACTTCGTGTAGAAACTCCACATCACTAACAAATCTTTAATAACCATTTGTTTTAACTCTACAGAAATTCTTAAAGAGCATCTCTGCTTTCATGATAGCTTTTCTAATACTGCCCAAATAAACCTAGCCATTAATTCACCTAAGGTCACAGGCATCAATGCACACTCTGCATGCACAATAAAAAATGCAAACAAAAACAATCAGCAACTCAAAATATAAGATCTGTGGATGTCAGCAGGTAAAAACAATGCAAAGATTCACATGAACACAAGTTCTGACCATCTGAAAGTTCAATAGCGATTATATATGAATTCTGGAAAGGGTATATGTATATAATCAAGTAAAATATTTTAAACAAGTCCATTGTGCCTCCATTAATTTTAAATTCTAAAATTCAATACACAATTGTTTTAATAAATTAGTGCAATATGAAAGATTTTTAAGATTAATGTGTCCACATTAGATCAAATGAAAGATTTCAAAATTTCCTCCAACAGCCATCTTTTGCATCTTCTTAAACTATTTCTTCCTGAGCTGTTTGAAGATACATGCTCAGATGCAGACAAACACATGCCAAATATCAAACTGCTGGTGAGATGTAAATTCTTTGCTTGTATACACCTCAGCAAACATGAAATTTTACACAATGCTCCGTGAACTTGGCAGAATGCCACTGACTTGTTTACTTATCCATAAGAAAAACGGTATTGATAATTCTAGTTCTTACAGCACATTTATTTACCACATACAAATCTGAAGCCCAGTGGAATACTTTTACTTCTGCTTCTAAAAAGAAAAAAGGGAAAGGGGAGTGACTTCTCCAATAAGGCAGGTTTTCTATCATGTAGTTGTTAAATTACTTTCCTTTTCAAAATTGCTGCTTATTCTTTGGTAGTCACCAGTTAAGAAACTACAGTTTCCTGGGAATGGTTGACAGGATGAGTGGTAATCCCAAACGTATCACCTCATGCTCCCATGCTGGTCACAGGCAAGCCAGCTGCTCACACAGTTCCAGTGCTACAGCAGAGTGCTGACAATCTTCTTTCAATACTAGATTTATCTAGAATTAAAGTATTAAAAAATTAAATTCATAATAAAAACCATTTGTTTTCAAAACCAAGGACAGAAGAACTAAGGAGAAAACAAAATCATGAACACTACTGACATCATCATCTCTATACTATCTTTGCCCCTAAGTTAACAAAAAGCAAATACCTTCTCTTCTTTCTGGCTGGTGACAGATTACATTCTTCTAGTAAGTGCTAAAAAGATGAGCATGTCACATAGAGAACATTTAGATTTTAACAGCTAGGTTGCTTACAAAACTACAAATAATTTTAGAGTAGCCATCCTCTTGTGGCTAGACAAAATGTGGCATGCCTATGTATACTAAGGTATCTCCCACCCCTCGTCCTCAAAAACAAGATTACTGGCTTGTATTTGGTAAGTAGTAATACCATCCTGGTACCAGCTATCAGTGTCTACCTGCATTCTGCAGTATATGGGGTTTTACAGTATTTTTAGAAGTCACTAAGCCCAGGAGGCTTAAAATAATTATAGTTAATAATAAGAACAATATCCTCTTATGTACACTAACACATATTTGCCACCAAAGTGATAAGCAGAAATCTTAAGACTAAGGACAAAAGTCATCCATGCCTGATATTAATTTCTAATCCTCACAACTCTGGAAGGTAGGCACCATTTTCCACTGTCTTATAGAAGAAACAGACCACATAAAGTTTAAGTAATTTGCTCAAGTTTGGAAAGCCAAGACTCAACAGAGGCAGTATGATCCCAAACTCTTAAACTTTTTTTACTATACTTGTAGGAGACAACTACTTTAAAATCAGTAATACCACTTATCCCCAAAGGATAGTCTCAAGATGCCCAATGGATTTCTGAAACCATGGACTGTATCAAACCCTGTAAGTACTATAACACCAAGACAATAAGTCTGATGACTGGGATGGCTGCTAAGTGACTAACTGGCAGATGACATAAACAGCATGGACACTCTCATCAAAGGAATAAATCATATCCCAGACAGGGCACAGCAGGACGGCATGAGATTTCATCATGCTACTAATGAGAACAGAACAAAATTTCAAACTTATGGATCACTTCTAGACATTGTCATTTAACATTTTTAGATACCGCTGACACTGCATAACTGAAACTGTGAAAAATAAAACCACAGATAAGGGGAAATTAATGTATATGTCAGCTTACATTTATGTACATTTTCAATATCTGCAGGGTCCTGCAGAATTTTAGTCAAGCCTTCTAAAAGAAGTGCTGCTTTGTGGTAGCGATAAACAATATCTTCTGTTTGTTGAAACATCTCATCCAGGGCAGCAGACTGAACCTAGAACCAGTCAACAATAACAAGAAGATTCTTAACTTTTCCAAGAAAAGAGAAGTCTATTAAGCCAATGCAGCCTTAAATGGCTTTACAATTAATACATTTTAACAGAATGATATAGTTTACTGAAGTACATAAAACTTGAAAGATTCCTCAGGATGAACCATATAAGGGAATAGCTTTTTAACAAAAGATTTTTTACATTTAAACACAGCCTTCTGGTATTTAGAGTTGTGATTCAAAATTTACAACAGAACCCTTCTAAACTCTTCTATGACTTCAATAAAAAGTTTATTTTAAACATAATTTCACATTAGGGTGACCTGGCATTTCATTCATGTACATTTTGTTACCATAGTATGGTTAAATTATGTTGAAAGCCATTTGTCAGCTTCTTTTTCTAGTCAAAGAATTTTGAGGTGTAGTCAATTCATCTGTGTACTTGCAAACACTGAGTAGCTACTGATGTCAGGCACTGGGTACACCCTGAAACAGCGCTCATCAAAGGGAGCTACAGTCCTGAGAAATATGGAATTCTAATTCTAAGAGGAACATGTTATACGAGAGGAAGCACTGAATGGTAACGGTTACACAGGCTATGCATCTAATCCCAGCTATGGAAGGAGATCAGGGAAAGTCTCAGGCGCTGATGTTCAGCATGAGTATTTAAAAAAGAAGCAGGCCAAGAGATGGCAAAAGTGAAAACAGGCTTTCCAAAAAACAGTACAGTTGTGGTATTCACACAGGTTTTCCCAACAACATTCTGATTTTGATCATTAAATACAAAAACTCTCAAGAATTCAGTATCTTAATTAACTTGTTAATATGTGTTGTTTCCTTTAAAAAATAAATACTCTTATGATAAAGTTAATAAAAGACATACAGAAAACTAGGGCCAGGAAACAAAAAAATAAATGCTATGGATACCTCTAAGGTTGCTAAACAGCCAGAGCATAAAAAAGAACTTACTGAAATTACATGGCTATTACTATTAGACAAGAAAAAAGCAATATCATTTCTGACTAAAGAACATCTTTCCTGGCACAATATTCTTTTGTTTAGAAACAGTATCTCCCTATTAGTCAGGCTGCCCTTGAACTTGTAGTGACACTCCTGCCTCCAAAGTACTGGGATTACACAAGTGTGCTGCTGTGCCTACCCTGGTACAATATTATTTTAAGAAGGTTTAAATCTGAATGAAACAATGTATATTACTCCTTTGAATGGTTTAGAACCATACAATGTGTATTATTCTGGTCAGTTTGTATTCCAAAGTTATTTTCATATGACTATTTTAATGGCTTTCAAACTAAGGACAAGAGTATAATGTCAGTATAACTCAAGGTAAATAAATGAAGGAAATGTATTAATTGGTAAAAATAACCTCTCAATAAACGAAAATTTCCCTACCTAACAGTCCCTATTTTTATTCATAATTCAGAGCACTATTACATTCTCCCCAGTAGAAACACAAAACAAATGATTTCAAGTGTTACAACCAGACAATTAGAAAAGCAGATTCCCTTTGGTGTCTACATTTCAACAGTCAGTAAATGGAATCTTTGACTACCTGTAGGTTGGGTAACAAAGCAGTACTTTTTCTTTTATTGAGCAAAAATTAGTTAATTAATTGACTGGTTGGTTGGCTGGGTGATTCATGTGTGTATGCAACACTAGAGATCAAACCCAGGGCTTCATACATGGTAGGCAAATGCTCCACTAATGAATTATACCCTTCAGCTCCCCAAATTATTTAAACAGTAGAAAATGCAAGAACAGCTGGGGATTTAGCTCAGCAGCATAAGCGCCTGCCTTGCAAGCAGGTAGTCATGAGTTCGATCCCTGGTACCAATAAAAAAAGAAAAAGACAAAAAAAAAAAAAAATGTCCGAAAATGCAAGAACAAATTCAACCAATACTTTTAGATACAAACTACAAAAAGATAACATTGAATCCTAGCAAAGTTTAACAGGGGATAGGTAAAATTTTATTAAACCCAGTACCAGATTTATAAATTATAATAAGTTTATTAAATTGCACTGTCTACTTCTTAAATGTTGGTAGGTCTGATTACTCCTTTAGGAGATAATCACAAGACTTGGAACTTGACAGTCGTTTTAGGATATACCATATTGCTTTAAAAAGGACAGTTAAAAATAATAATAATAAAAAATAAAAAGGTCAGGTAATGTCATGCACATGTTCAAAAGACACTCTTGGAGGTAAGCACTCCAGTGCTACATGATATTAAGCCTTGAGGATAGTTACCATTTCCACTGCACAATTATAGATGAGTTTCTCTGCAGTTACACTGTTAATTTCATCAATAAATCTCTGTTTGTCCGAGAAGAAGCGATTCAGCTTTTCTGTAAGTTTCTTGCACATGGTGATGCAAAATTTATATCGCTCATTCAGATTTTTCACAACTGGAAAGAAGTTGAGATGGGAATTAATATTAATTTTCCCCAAAATAACAACACAATGACATGAACCTTTCCTGCTGATATAAGTGACACCACATGATCACTAAAGAAATCAAGTTTTATGATCTTTTTTAGTATGAAAAGACAGTCCTGACTTCTCACTTTATAAATGGTAAAAAAACTAAAAAAAGCCACCTTTCCCCTTGTGCAGAACACTGAGTAACACAGATATTCCTCCTCAAAAATTTCTTCTCTTGGTAGGATGAGAAGGGGTGATCCAAGGCTATAAAGTCTCATGCTGACATCTGCTTCCATACCTTGTTTCACAGCCGTCGATGGGCTCAGCTTTCCAGATTTGATTTGGGCTTTGGCAAGATGCAGGGAAGCTGCAAGCAGCTGTGCTGCTTTCATATATAACACCAGCTGCTCCACTCTCCTGCCCCCAGGAAGACAGAAGCAAAATGTTATCTTCTGAACCAAACTGCCAGAATCTGCATACCACAGACATCAGTCCACCATTCACACAGCCTTTCTAAGGGAATCTCTTCCTAGGTTTTTTTAATGCACATAAAACTCCCAAAGGGAGAACACTTGGCTTGGAGAAAGTATGTACTCTGAAACAACAGAAACACTAAGATAAAAATCCATACATTCTCCTTATCATCAAGTGTCTTCGATGGTATAACTTACAGGAAAGAGGCAATGCTAGGGTTGCACAATAAACTCTCAGTTCATACAGTGACATCTGTATAATAAAGTAACTTTCAAGAGATTCCACTGAAGCTTTTACTGATGAGATGTGATCTTCAGTAGATAACAATGTCTTAGTCTAAGGCACAAGTTTACAGAAAACAGGAAGAATCTAGAAACTACAAAGGAGACCTACCCCCAGTCTTTGCTCAGCTGGCTGATCTGGTCCACAACCACACTCTCTTGAATCTGGTACAAGGATACGGCAGATGTGCACAGCTCAGGATTTCCTCCTCGCATGGCTGTGAGGTCCAGCACACACTCAGTGAACATCAGCATCATGTTCAGATAGCGTAAGGTGTCTGTGTGTTCCCTCTATACCAAAGACAAGGTGTCTTACAACGTTTGATACAAAGGAATTCTGTATATACACTGTATGTAATATTTTTTCCATACTTATGAATGAAAAAAAGATACACATTTTTAAATCTCAGAAATTTGGTAAGAAAATATAAGTGAACCAAATGTAGTTGTGTGCATGTATTTGTTTGTATGTATCAAAGTACCTACACAAGCAAGCTCTAAAGAGAGGAGGTCACGGGGGGAGGGTGGGGGCGGGCAGACAAGAATGAACAATACATGTGAGTCAAAGATTTACCAAAGTGCACATCAAGATTGCACACATCCTCTTCCCATCGAATCACACTTCACTAGTGTGTGCAATAAGGACTGGCTACTAAGTTAGCCTTGGACTCTTTGGGTCAAGTGATCCTCCTGCTTTTGGTCGAGTAGCTGGGACTACAGATGCATGACACCACGACCAGTTCTTACATCACATTTGAAGTTCAGTGGAGTCTACTGACTCTTCATTTCAAAAATGCTTTAGTATGCCTGCCTTGCAAGCAGGCAGTCGTGAGTTCGATCCCCGGTACCAATAAAAAGGAAAAAGACAAAAAAAAAAAAAAAAAAAAAACCAAAAATGCTTTAGTTTCCAACACTTTTTCAGTTAACAGTGATTTTTAATACCAAAACTCTAATTTTCTGTCACCTTTTCATAAGAGGAGTGCATAGTAAGGCATAACACCATCCTGAGGACTGTCATTTAAAAATGGGTATTCTAAAATTAGTTTTGTTTGCCTTTAATTATAAGTGTATTCTGAAATCTCAAAGAAGACTAAAAATTTCTCACACTTTTTTATGGTTAAAAGATTGGAATTGTGCCAGACATGGTAGCATATGTTTATAACCCTAATCCTCAGCAGACTGAAGTAGGAGGTTCTTAACTGAGTTCAAAGCCAGCCTGAACTATACAGCAAAACCCTCTTTCAAAAAAGAAAAAAAGATGAGAATCATTTTTCTAGAAAGTGAATAAATTACTCCGTTTTATGAAGTCTCTCTGCTATGATGCATACTGTCTACAGACTCCAATACACTGAATACATGCTGGAATATGGTATGTCCTATTTAATAAAGACTAAAAATACTCAATTGAGTTTTTCAACTTTAGATTGATTAGGCATATTTTTGGAATTATTACTAAATTACCACTAAAATGTACTAAAATTCTGCATGTCATACATTAAATTTATATAAAATATTTAATACTCATTCATATAAAATAGAAGTGTAAGCAGTCTTACATGGAAAATTGTTCTTCTTTTGGCCTAAAGATTTGATCATTCTAATTAAAACCTCAAGTTTAATTAAAACCTCAACACTAAGTTTAACACTCAAGCATCAAGGACTCAGGACATATTACTCCACTGAGTATTGTACTTGAGTCGGGAATGAGAAGCTGAACAGGTACAGCTCTGAAACTATAATAAAATGAACTTGTCTGGCTCTAGATTTGTGTTCAGTATACTTCACATTATTGTGCAGTATGTTTTTTCTGTAGAACTGGATCCAATGAGGGAAAAGACCTGCTGTGCAAACGTGAATGTACAGTCTTTCAGCAGATACATTTCTTAATGACTAAAATGGCATTATGTATTACTTTTAAACTTAAATGCAAGTGCATTATTTTTACTTTGCAAAGAAAACTTTAAAAATAAAAAGCAGATTTAGGATAATGCTTTTAAAATCCTACCAAAAAAAACCCTACAAATAGTAAAACTTTGAATATAAAAATTTAAGAACGTAATATATACATGTCACTCCCCATGAAGCCAAGGTTGCTATGGATGAGTGTTCCTGTCAACATGATTTTAAATATTTACCACCAATATTTTTTTAAAATAGAAAAGTGAAGAACTTAAGTTCAGAACTATTCAAATGTATTTAGCTCTTGCATCATCACTAGAAAATGTATGTTGTATCAACATAACATTAACATTCTATTAGTCTCCTTCTCTACCTCCATCAGTGTCTCCTCTGGCAGTTCAGGGGCTTCAAAGGTGATGAGCCCCTCTAGGCTGGGGGGCGAAGCACCATAAGGCACGTATCTCAGGCTGGGAGCTGCCTCTGCTGCAGGTGGTGAAGAGCCCAAGCCTGACCCAGGTGGGGAACCCACATACACACGGCCAGTGGCAGAGCACAAGGAGCCTCCCGAGCTGCTGGATCCCACTGCAAGGAAACGCAAGACACATAGCATTGCTCCCAAGTTAGGTTAAAAGGGGGTTTCACAGCCATGCTCCTCTTATTTAAACATTATTGAAGTAATAAAGAAAGCGCTCACATAAAGTTTTTATTTCTCCATGTTCTTTTTCCTTGTCTATATGCATATTTTATAGACATCACCACAGCCAGTTTTCTTAAAGTCTATTTTAAAATTCCTATCACACACATTTCTCTTTCTTGTACCATGGACTTCAAAAACTCAATAAATGCATAATAGTTCAGAGGGTTAACTATACTATGATTTTTTTCCATATTACAAATATCACTGTAACAAAATGAACAGTTTCTCCTTCTTTGCAATGCTTTCTACATGATAAGTACTCCAACATGGTATTACATAAACAAGACTATAACCATAGATCAAATATTATAAACATTTGTACACCTCTTCCTAAGAATTACATCACTTCCCAAAGCAGCTATAAGCATACAAATCACACAAAATTTCAATATATATATTTTTAGAATGTTGGTGCAAGTGGGCATTGTATTGCCTACATATATCCCAACTACTTGGAGATTGAGGTAAGAAGATCACAAATTTGAGGCCATCATACCTCAATATAAGGTCAGGTTCAAAATAAAAAGGGCCGGGCATATAGTTTAGTGGAAAAGCATCCCTGGGTTAAATCCCTAGTACCACACCAATACAAAAAAGTTCGCACAATTAATAGATGTAAAAAAATTACTTTCTTAAAATGATATTTTTGTATTTATTAAGATTTTTAATACCACTTGTTATTTTGTTTACTATGACATCTTGATTAACAACCTATATAGAATAAAAGAAATTAAAAGACATTTGGTACAACACATATGTCAATGATAATACATACTGATTTCAAGTCCAAGTCCAACACTTTCTTAATGAATAATAAAAATATCTATTAATCCATCTAAATATTTATATGATTAACTGCAAACATGAGGACCTAAAGTACAATACAAAATAAAACCTAAGCTTCTAAAAAAGAAAACAATATATATTTTTTAAGTAATTTGTTGGCTCAGTAGACAATATTAAAGTAAGACTCTACATGTAGGGAGAAAGCACAATAGACACAGCTTCATGGAGATGTCACATTTAGATTATACTTTGTATTACAATAAACACTACATGTAAGTATATATAAAATATATCTTTATAGATTAATATATACTATATTACTTTTTACTTTGTATTTTCCTCCCACAACCATTGCTTCATACTCTTCCTAGAACCCTTTGAATAAAAAGTCATTTACACTTCACTGGTGAAGAAACTGAAGTCAGAGAAGTTTTGTCTGCGTTACAATATTACATCCAAAATACAACTCACAAACTGTACTAAGATAAACGTTCCTCACCTGAGGTGGTTCTTGTTCGAAGGACCATATGGGTACAAGTAGGGGCTGTAGCACTGTGCGGAGGAGACCCCACAGTGAAGAGGACAGCCCTGGAACTTGTGGCTGTTCCTGCTGACGGTGCTACCACGAGGCCACAGGCTCCTGCTGGAGCTATAATAAAGAGTTATTTTTATAAAATGTCACATTACCTGCAGTGTTTCTATTGCAAAGAAACTGAAAATTTGGGTTTTTCTTAAACTAAAAATATTTATTATTTAAAATCAAAAATTCTATCTATAGCATTAAAAATATTTTAGTATGACCTCACATCTGTGGATCTTCATACAAAGTCTAGTATTCAGAGTGATATTTCAATACTTCTAAAATACATCAACTTCAAATCTTATCTCTCGAGGTTAATTTGAAAAAGTAGAAACCAAGAACTAACAACTAAATGTACGGTTAAGCTGAATAGTAATCAGGAGTCTCCATAGCAATACAGTTTAGAAGGATAAAGAAACAGAGGCAAAGTACATTTATACCATATAATCATACCCTTAAATCAGTTACTAAGGAAAGATCTGATTGGCTGAGGCTGGGCCAAATGAAGAGCAGGTGAAAGTCCCCCATCCACCCAAATGTGCAGAATCAGTAAAATTTGCCCAAAATCTTTTCCCATTCAGATATCTGAAAGACTAAATTTATGGGACCACAGATGCAGGCAGGAGTTACACAGACCACACACATACCCAAGGGAAAAATCTAAATAAACCCTTCATACAGCTTCACTTGCTTGCTTACTTTTTTACTGGAAACTGAACCCAGGGCCTTTGTACTGAGTACCTAAATTGTTATGCTACCCGGCTAGGCTAAACTTGGGATTCTCCTACCTCAGCCTCCCTAAGTGCTAAAATTGCCATCAAGCCCAGCTACTTGCTTAAAGTTGACTTTAAAAATTATTGATTTATTGGTCTTGCACTAGCTTTACTGTGGATAGCAACTCTGAATAAAGTTGCCTGACTAGTTAAAACCATTCTCAAGTAGAAGTTGCTTTCTGTTCTCATTCTTTGTTCTGTATCTTAAATTGTAATGTTAACTATTCCTAAGAAATAAAACTAAAAAGACGGAGTCATGAATTTACTAATCATTAACTTTTTTCAGATATACAGAACAAAGGCTGATAACATCGAAATATGCAATATCTAACAAAAATGCACAATTTGCTAATCTTACTCCTTAAAGTAAGAAATGTAGATAATCTTAATTTGCAAGAAGACAATGTGTTCATTACAGAGACTGACCTAGAAGATGAAGGTGATTATCATTGGATGTTCTGACAAACAGAAGAGAAAGAAAAACAGCCTCTGAGGCTTGACAGTTACCAAACCTGGAGGTACAATTCAGCATGCAGTCTTCTGATCCATGGCCCTCTGCTCCCACTTCCCCTCCCTATCAAAGCCCTGTTTACCCAAATACCCTGATAGGTCTTTGAGAACAATGGCCCTCTCCATCTTCCAACATGCTAGTCCTTGGAAAAAAAAACTAATTTCTTTCCCACCAATGCCTATCTCCAAGTACTGGCTTTCAACTAAGGAACAGCCTTGACTCTACCAACAAACAACACTGAATCAAATACAGAAGACCACCTTGTATACAACAGACATAACAATGTTATCAAAGTGACCCCGAGAAAGCTAGAAAAGAGGCTAAGGAAGGAAGGGAAGATAAAGCAATTACAATCAAAAGAAGAAATAGTGGAGAAATATGAGAGTGGTGTTTGTGAAACCAATTTCACTACAATGTACAGCACGTCAAATCTACCATCTTGACAATCCTATAAAGATTTGTGTAAGAAAGCTAGTGTTGCTAAAGTTGTTACTCAAGTTAGTAAGCCATGATCAACTGTGTTAGATGAGGTAGAAAGGCTATTATTAGTATGCATAAACGAAAGGCAGATGGCCTGAGTCTACAATTCATCAAAGAGCTAGGGCTATGAATGCCGATTTTGAAAGGATAATCCATCAACAAGTAATAATGATGAAATATTTCACGCCAGTAGGGGGTGTTTTCACAATTTTAAAGTGAGAATTGGGGCTCATTGGGGAACATGGAGAGCAGTCAGTGTTGATAAAAGTGCTGCTGAAATTACACACACCACTTCGAAATGATGATACAGAGAAATGGCTTTTCGTTTTCAATTGTAAAGAAACTGGCCTTTCCTGGAAGAAAATGCCCGGGACAGCATATATTCCAAGCCACAAGCCCAAGAAAGATAGGCCAATCTTACTGCTATGTGTCAATGCAAGTGGTAATCTCAAGATAAAACTTCTCTTGGTTTATTGCTCTAGTGAACACAAAAAATATGAACACAATATAGAACACAAAAAATATGAAGTCATAAAGAATAGGCTGGGGTCATGTGGAAATCTAACATAAAAGCCTGGCTAACAACAGTACTTTTGCTTGAGTGATCAGGGAGGCTTTCTATCCTACTGCTCAGGAATATCTAGAGGTCAAAGTTTTAACCATTCAAAGCTCCCTTCATCATGGACAATGTTCCTGCTCAAGCCATGAGATTTGGAAGAACTGGCTGAAAACTCCCAAGGCTCTCAGTTGAGTTCCCCCCACCTAATAAAACTCCTCTACTGCAGCCTAGTGAGCTAGAGCTACAGCTAACTTCAAGAGGCTATTCTGTTTCTGATAGTCTCACAAATTTAACCCTTAAGAGTTCAGTATAACATCCTTTCTGTGTGGGTTAACTGAGAAACCCTGCACTGATGTCACTCTATGAGAGTGCCTGGAAGAAAGTGTGGTCTAAAATTAAATAGGAGAAACTTTAAAGGCTGTGTAAAGGAGTCTAAGCCTTCAACTGACCCTGTAGTTGATGACACTGTCACCACTGCAGTCCACAGGATTACAAGTAAACAGTGGTGATGTTGAAGAACTAGTGGAGAACACTTAGAGGAACTGTCTAAAGAGGAACTTCAACTTCTGGCTGAGCAACAGAGAATGGCAGCTAAGGAGCTTTCTGAAGAGGAAAGGAGTATCAACGATCAGTGCAGCAAAGCTCTTCTTCCATAAATAAAGGAAATCCTGAAAAAATGCACAGAGCTACAAACATTTGTAGAGAAGACCCACCCAGACAGAGAAAAAGCCAAGCGCTGCATTCACATGCTTAATGACAATGTCAAGATTAGGTTTTAGTTCTGAACAGGTTGAGATCTAGTGAGTCAAAAGCAGGTGCTAATGTGCTACAGACTCTTCCAAGGAAAAGAAAAGACACCAGATAGCTAGATTCCTGATATTCTTATAGACAGGGACTCTCCTTCCAAACAATAATCACTTTCCAGCTGGCCACAGTGGCCGGAATCGCAGCATTCGGGAGGCTGAAGTAGAAGGATTGCTGCGAATTCAAGGCCAACGTGGGCTACATAGTGAGTCCAGGACAGTCCCAACTACATATAGAACCTCTGTCTCAAAAATAAATAAACTTTAAAAAAACAATAAATTATAAGGTCCACTTCATCCTCTCTTCCTGCAAGCTAAAATGTCAACTTGAATGGTGAGTACAGTATGAAATTGTTGTTCTGGTAAAATGGGCACACTTTATATAACTTTTTGGTGAAAACAAGTGAAAATTATTGATGTTCTGGTAAATTATATACATTATACAACCCTTTTTTTACATGAAAAACTTAGTTAAGGGGTGGTTTTGGAGGCTTGGAATGCATTATGGATATTTCCATTATTTCTTTTTTTTAATTTTATTTAAGGAAAAAAAGAAAAAAAAGCAGGAAAAGGGTACAAGTTATATAGAATTTCAGAAAAAAAAACAGTAGGAAATCACTAGTTAATGGATTACATATTGTCATCTTAGAAATATTTGTTCAAGTTACAAAATTAAAGCATATAAAGTGGATAAACAGTGAGACTGCAAACAGTTCTGTTCAATGAACCAACAAAACTCAGTAATATCATTGTCTATCTTATACACGTAAATATACATGCAGTTATATCGTTTAGAGCACTTTCTTTTCCTCTCTTTTGTACAATGACTATTACACATTTTGGGTTTTATTACTCCCACAGTTCTTATTACTTTTTTGGAAGAGAGTAAAACCAAATGTGACATAACAGATCAGAGTCGGTCAAATCAAAAGGGTGGACATAATAGATAATGTAAAAACATAATACAAGGTGATCAATAACGGTTACCATAATGCCTCCTGCTATCTCAAATAGAATTGCCTACATCATCAGTTATAATAAAATTGAACAAAACAGTAAAGAACGAAACCAACAAAACCAAAACATTGGGAGACATTACAGGTCTTCAAAACTAGGGATTCATTATGACGCCCATTCTGGTTGACTATTTCCATTATTTCTTATGGGAAAAACAGTCTTGAAAACCAGCCCTTGTGAACAAATTGAATTCATAAGTCAAGGCCTACTATGTATGTCAGGGACACAGCAGTCTACTTTCATTTTTCTGCATCCATGTATCTAATCTCCCTAGTACCACTGTTGAGGGGAATGTCCTTTCTTCAATGTATGTCCTTGGCACTGAAATACACAATTTACTAGACAAATGAATCACTCAAGCAGAGATGACAGTAACATGGCATTTATGTGGTCCCTCATAACATTTAAACTGATTGCATTAATAGGAAATAGCCATGAAATTATTACAGTAGTACGTAATGTACTGTAGTTAATCACATGTAGTTATAATTTTTATTTACATGTCTCTTGACTATGGACTATTTGTAATTTTAGAATGTGTAAATTCTGATAAGTTTTAATGTTTTGTAACTTATTTCTTTATATCTTACCATAAGTAACAAAATAAGACCATTATTTATATGTTTTCATACCTTTTATAAGTTTTTAGATATTTTTTAGGATACAGATTATTCTTTCAAATTGTTGCAAATCTCCCCTTGGAAAATCTTTACGTATCTGTATCTATGGAGTTCAAACCTGTGTTGTTCACAGGTCAATTATACAATTAACAAGAAAAATACAAGAAACAATTAAGTGTATCAATATATACATAACAAGAATATAAGGAAGCAAATGAATAAAAAGAATCCAAATAAATAAATAGAAATTCTCTAAATCTGGGGGTATTGGGAATCAGACTCAGGATCTCATGCTTGCCAGACAAGTGCTGTTCTGCTGAGCTATATCCCTGGCCCTAGAAATTCCTAAATTTGACTTTTAAAAAAAAAATCACGTAACACAAAAGCTCAGCAACTTTCAGGTAGGATAAGGGAAAAGAGTTACCTCCAAACATAATCATAGTAAAACAGTGAAGTACATAAACTAAGAGAAAATCTTATTAGCTGAAAGAGAAATATAATGTCATATACAAAAGAACTAAAATTAAGAATAGCTACCTTAATATCAGAAACAGTAGAAGCCAGGGACAGTAGCATGATAACATATTTAAAATGCTGAAAAAGAATCAACTACAGTGTTACTTATCTGAGGCCAAGGTAGGGAGATCACTCACTCTGGGCAACACAGACAGACCTTGTCTCAATCAATGAACCAGTATGTTAAAAAGTCCTGAAGAAGCCAATAACAAACCATCCTATGAATGTGCCTGCAATCTGAGCACTCCGCAAAGGCTCAGGCAACAGGGTCACAGTTCAAGCCCAGCCTGGGTAACTTAAGTGTCCGAGTGAGATCCTATCTCAAAATGAAATTTTTAAAAAGGGCTGAAAAAAAAGAGCTATCAAATAAGAACCTTTTTACTAAGCATAACTTTTAAAAATAATGAAGCCAAAATATAGACATTCCCAAATAAACAAAAACTGGGAGAATTTATTGCTAGAAGATGCAGTACTCTTAGAATAAATACCAATGAAAGTTCTTCAAGTGAAAAACAACTGACCCCAGAGTGTAACCCCTAGAAATACAAGAGTACAGATAAAGGTAATTATTATATATAATTATAAAATACAATATAATTGCATCCTCATTCTTTCCTCTCCTGTATTATTTAAAAAGCAATTTTATTACACAATATGCCTATAATTGCATCATTGGACCTTTAACACATAGAAATGCAGTATATTTGATAACAGCATAAAGAAGGTACATTGAAGCAAGAATAGGAATTTGAATCCATAAAAGCAAATGGAGAGAACCAAAAATGGTAAATAAGGTAATACAACAAACTATACATGCAAACGTACACTCTTTCCTTGCGTCAGCTTCTTTATATGCATAAGATTATATAAAGTAATATAATAATGTACCACTAAACTTCTCTTACATATAGAATATTTACAACAGTAGTACTAATAGAATTGGGAAGAGGGAAGAGCAATGTAGGAGTAATGCTTCCCTGTGCTAGTGGAACCAATTTTGTGTAAATCTGAACTTGACTGTAATAAATTAGCATCCATATAGAAAGACCTAAAGAAACTACTAAGAACTTTTTTTTAAAAAAGTGAAAACCATTTAAGAGATTAAAATGTGACAATATAAAATACTCATTTAATATGAGAGAAAGCAGTTTTTTAAAAAAGCAACAAAAGAATAACATGACACAAATAGAAAACAAAAAGTAAAATGTATAGGTAAATCCAATTATGTCAAGAATATCATGGGGCTGGAGATTTAGCTCAGTGGCGTAAGCTCCTGCCTTGCAAGCAGGCAGTCGTGAGTTGGATCCCTGGTACCAATAAAAAGGAAAAAGGCAAAAAATAAATAAAAAAAAACATATTATATATATATGTATTAAAAGGAATTGTTTTGCCGGGGATTTAGCTCAGCAGCATAAGTGCCTGCCTGGCAAGCACTAGGTTGTGAGTTGAATCCCCGGTACTAAAACAAAAACAAAACCAAGAATATCAAATGTGAACAGATTAAATAATTTAACCAAAAGCTTAACATTGTTACATTATAAATAAGATAAACTATATACATCTACAGAGGATATATTTCAGTGTCAAAGATGCAGCTATACTAAAAGTAAAAGTATGGGAAACAACATGTAAACAAACCATCCTAAGAACTACATTGGACTTCTCTCTACGCAGGCATGAATAGTCTAGTAAAATACGAATTCCTACAGTATTCTCTTTGGATTAGAAAACCGTATTTAATTAGATACACTGTTGACACGGACGTTCAGAAGGAGAATTAATTTTTAAAATTACTAAACAACCAGGCATGGTGGTACACCACCTGTATTTCCAGCTACTCAGGTAGCCGAGGCAGGAAGAATGCAAGTTCAAGGCCAGCCTAGGCAACTTAGCAAGACCCTGTTTCAAAATTTTAAAAAAGAGTTCGAGATATAGTTCAGCACTTCCTGGGTCCCATCCCCAAGTAAGGTGGGAAAAAAAAAAAGGGAAAGAAAAAGAAAAAAAAAGGTTAAGACTCCCAAATTTGAATGTACACAGTAATCACTTGAGAATTCTAGGAATTAATCCCCAGGAATTCAATTAAGTAAGTCTGGTGTAGGTAGAAGATCTCCATTTTTTTTCTTTTGATAAACTATTTACATAATCTAAATGGTTTATGGACATAACAGTCCCTGTGATCCATGAAAGGTTCACAGATCTCAGTATGAATGAGTCTTTATAAAGTCTAGGTTCTATAAAAGAAATGCTAATTAGTACAGGTGTGTTTGGGCTAACTTTGGCCCATATGATCCTACTAAAAAAAATCCACTTAGGTCAGAATACATTCCAACTCATAGGCTGCTGATCATTAAAGACATTCTCTGTCTTATCCAGCACTGAGAAAGAAGAGATGACAGAGATGACTTAAAAAACTATGACATTATAATAATGTGTCTTGCTTAAGCTCCAACCTTGTAATAACTTGTTACAACAGTAACAATAAACTAAGACATATGCTAATAAATTATCAGCCTACATAGAAATCAGATTTTTCTTACCTATATCCATTGGTCGTTCTGTATTTAAACTATCTGTGCTGCCCTGGTATCCACCTAAAGGTGTCTTTATTTGTTGATCTGATAATTTTCCAGTACTGACAGATCTAAAAAGAACAGTGAAGTTAATAATGTTAAGTATACTTTTTAAGAATAGAGAAATAAGAAGTCAGAGAACAAAGAAACAAAAACTAGATGCCAAACAATTGAGAGTACAAACTTCCATAATCAAAAGAAAAGGCAGAAATAGAATATTCAAGTTCAGAAAGAACTTTGTGGGGTTTTTTTTTTCCTTTTTTGGTACTGAGGCTCGAACTCACGACCTTGTGCAGGCAGGCGCTTATGCCTCTGTGCTAAATCTCTTGCCCCTGTGTTTAAACATTTGTAGGATGTATTTGTGGTTTCTAGACATTCTAAATTTATATAGTACATAATAATAATCACATGGCACAAACCAGACAGTGAATAATGTGATATAATTGCTTTTACTACACAAATACATTTATTTTGCTATTATAGTTCTCATGTTTTAGAAAGGAAACAGTCTTACCTGCCAAACAATGCCTTGTTCTGCTGCTCAGATCGATGCCTCTCACTTTCTTGTACTAAGAAACAATGGGAACATTCCCGAGGGTCATTCCCATCTTTGGATTGACCTTCAGCAGGTCCATGACGTGTAACCAAGGCTAATAGGTTGGAAGACGCTTGTGTTTTAGGGATTTTGAAAGGAGCCGTGGTCTAAAGAAGCACACGTAAGCTAGTTAAACATTATGCATGAGATGTTATGAATTAAATGTAGGGCACACTTAGAAGTATAGACACTGGAGTTAAGGCAGACCTGGATTCAATTATAGTTCTTCTATTTATAGGATTTGAGACTCTGGACAGTTCATTTAAGCTCTATAAACCTCAATTTCCTTTTCTGAAGATTAACGGAATCATGTACATAAAGTATTAAGCAAGTATTTACATCCTGCCTGGCAAGTACATTAAAATTATTCTTAGCATGAATCTTTCCATGAAGTACTCTCCCAGCTCATGACTACAAAAGAATAAGAAACACACCTTAGTAGGAGAGCCAATGATTGTTGGTAAAGGAGTTTTAAAGAACCAATCCGAACTCCGTGGAGAGGATCCTGTGTGCTTGGTGGGAGAGGTTCCAAGGCTGCCAGGCCGACTGGGCTGAGGTGAGTAGTTGTACCCAGCCCCAGCATGAGATGGGCACACGGGATCAGAGTGCTGTTTTCTGAGCTTCTGTTTGTTTTGATAGATGTCAGTGAGAGTGGGCGCACTTTGCAGCCTAGCACCCAATAAGAGAGACTGTGGTGACTGAGCCTGTGGCACTGGAGAACCTACCAAAGAAAATGAATGTAGTATTAACCTACATTCATTCTAAAGAAGTACAAGGCAAAATCTTAAATAAGAACAAAATTATTACAATGAGAATTCTCACAAAAGGTTTTACTTTTCTTGAGATATTCTAAAAATTGTTAACTGGGAATGAGGTATTTCCTGGCAACCTTTACAAAACAACAGTAAGTAGTACACTGTTGTATTTCTCAGAATATTTAATTTAATGATGAAGGATACATGAGCTACTTTTCAGATTAACTCTGATTAATATAAGATCTGAAGAGAACTATAAATTTAATGGTTAAAGGAAATGAAAACAACAATGGCCTACACTGAACAAGGTGACTTCTTGTCTTTCTAGGTGTAACACTTAAGCGTATGAATGTAATTACTCTCTATTCTTACACAGCAACTAAATCAAACTTTCAAATTAACCCAGTATAACCCAAAAACACAAAAATAAAAATAACGTAAAATGTAGAAAAAGTCATAAAGATAATAATAGAGCTGTCCTGAACTTTACCATGTCTAAAATAACAACCACACCGATGTTTTGTGTTTTGTCAGTTTCATTAGTGGCACATTTAAAGCCTACAGTATATTGTATTCTCTACAAAGCACATACTTTGCTGGTTTCTGGACACTTAAGGGGATATCACATCAAGAAACTAGGAGACTAGGCACTCTTCTCCTTACCTAATCACCTTGTTGCCTACCACAAGAGGTGGCCACTTACATGATACTTTTGTCTTAGTGTGCTCAGTGTCTAGCTCACTGAATTCTGGTTACACATTCTCTGGAGTTCCTTGCAAGCAAAACCATTGCCAGAACCAGTAAGGGCACACAAATATTTCTAGTGATCTAAGCATCCACTTTCTAAAAGTCGGCATGGATAACTTTGTTGCTGACTACTCTTGCCTTTATCTCATACCAAACCTGATATTTAGTTCCTCAGAATTATATCCTGCCTTTTATAGAATTACGTAAATAAATAAGTAAAAATATGACTGGTTAACTACTTCAACTCTTTCTTAAGCTTTATTTTTAGAAAACAAAAAACTAAACTTAGAAAAAAAATGCGTTCCTAATCTTACATTAATCTTATGTAAGATTCCTTCTACTAACTAACTTTTCACATGCCCATCAACAGAATTTGACTTATAGAAGTATAACTCACACAATATCTTTTCAGGCATATATGTCATATAATAAAGCAATAAACATTACATTTTCTTTTTTATCTAATACTGATGGGGGCCCTCTTTATCAAGAATGTATTAATTCATGAGCCAAATTAAACCTCTCCTCTTTTAATGTGTAATCCTTCTGACAACATTTTGGAGTACTGGGTTTACAAGTATGGGCTAACATATCCACCTGACTACATTTTCCTGTTATGCTATAATAATTAGTTTATGTCTGCCAAGTCTCACTACACAGAGACTACCTTGAAGACAGGAATAAATTGATTTCATGTTGTAATCTCAGACACTGATCTTGTTTCAGCTGCCTTGGAAGCATCTGGAAAAAGTAGGACAAAACTGAGAGAGTTGGAACATCAGAGCTCTGAAAGCCTTGCCTGCCATTCCTCATTATGTTGTTTGTCATTGAGGAAGTCACTATGTCTCTTTATTCCACAAACAAGAAGGAGGTATCCTATCTGCCCTTTAGGATTCCTCTAAGGTACATTTAACAATTAATAGAAATGTGTGCCTTAACCACAAGAAATTAATATTTATTATTAATGAAGTTCATAGCCATTTCATTCCTTTCTTCAGAGTTGCAAGATGCTCACCAGCATAAAAAAAACTCAAATAAGGAGTATGAAGGTCTTAAGTTATGTCATACACTTACCAAATGAGAATGCCTCTAGACACAAATGCAGTCTAAACAGTAAGGCAATTAGTTAAGATATTTATCAGCCTCCAACCCTAACCTACTAATTTCTAAGTAGTTAAAATACTTCAGGGAAGGTGCAAGGCCCTGACACTATACTCTAGAGATGTGTCCCAGTTAGCTGTGTGGTCTAGAAGCTCTGAGCTCCTCCCAGACAAGTACAAGGCCCCGGAATCATTATCCAGGGGTTTGTCCCTGCTAGCTGCACAGAGGATCCGAGCTCTACCCAGCTCAGCGTCCCAGCGCAATGCATCCAGGAAAAGCCTGGCCAGCCTCACAGGTCACACCGACACTGAGTCCTGCCCAGCCTAAGGCCCCACAGCCTAGGGCCCAATCAGGGAGTGACCAGTCTAGCTGATAGATCCTTAAGATTTTGAGCTCTGCTTATCACAGCACAAGGCTCTGGTGCCATAAGTTCAGGGGTGTGCCCCAATTAGCCACCTGGATATCACAGGATCAAAGCTCTGCCCAGTGCAGCATTCCAGTGCAATCCATCGGGAGGGTGTTTGGCCAGTCACATAGGTACCAGAAGAAAATGCCAAAATGAAAAAGCAAGATGCAGTCTCAGTCCTGTAGCCCACTGAGAACAAACCCAGGAGACACTGAAATGGAAGACACTGGAAATCGCACAACTGAACTTTCTGAAATGTTTGCTACTGAAGTAAAGAAACAACTGCATGAAGCTATAGAGGAAATAAGATCAGAAATAATCTCCTGGGCAAAAAAAGAAATGACAAACATTATGAAAGAAATGTAGAGTGTAACTAAAGAAGATATACAAAAAATAGAGGAACATAAAATGATGGCAACCTTATATAAACAATATAAGACAGAATTAGAATGCATGAAACATTCAAAGGGATAGTCAGGAAACTAAAAATTCCATTCAAAGCTGGCAAAACCACTTGAATAAAACTTAAGATAAACTGTCAGACCTTGAAGACAGTCTGGAAACTTATGATCACAGAAGAAAAGATCTCTTAAAAATAGTAACAACAAGAACAACAGCAGACAGACTCTACTAAGCAGGGCAAACAATTAAACAGAAAAAGTAGAAAACCAACAACAGAAACATAACATGACAGGGATAAGTCAGTACATATCAGTTGTATCCATCAACATTAATGGTCTCAACTCACCAATAAAAAAAAAGACTGACAGATGGATTAAGAAAGAATATCCAACAATATACTGTGTACAAGAAACACATTTAACTCAGAAAGAAATTCATAGATGAAATGTCAAAGGGCAAAAACAATACTCCATGTGACAGGAACCAGAAAAAAGCAGGGATAGCTATTTGGTTTGCAGACAATACGCACATCAAACCAAGAATGATAAAAAGAGATAAAGGTCATTACATAATTGTTAGGGAAAAACTTGAAGAGGAAGAGACTACAATCGTAAATATATATGCACCAAATATGGGAACACCCGATTATATAAAACAAATGTTAACATACATGAAAAATCAAATAAGTAATAATATAGTTAAAACAGGGGACCTTAACACCCCATTGTCAGAAAGAGACAGTCAAACCAAACAAAAAATTAGCAAAGAAATAACAGAACTAAATAAAACTTGTGAGTAAATGGACCTAGTAGATGTGTACCAAGGGTTCCACCCAAAACATCAGAATTCTCAGCTGCACATGAGTCATTCTCTAAAATAGACGATATACTAGCCCAGAGAACATGTTTAAGTAAATGCAAAAAAACTGGAAGACAAAACAGGTAGAAATAGGGGCAGGGAGAGAATTCATGAACAAAAATCAAACTGCACAGGAATTACTTTCCAGAATCAACAACTGGGATCTCATCTATTAAACTTTTCACTCCAACAGAGTGAAAAGAAACCCACAAATTGGAAAAACACCTTAGCCAATTGTCCCTCAAACAAAGGATTTACATCTAGGATATATAAACAATTAAAAAAAAAATCAAGCCCCCAAAATTCAAAGACCCAGTCCAAAAATGGGCATCAGAGATGAATACTCACTTCTCAAATGAAGAAATACAACTGGCAAATAAATGTATGAAAAAATATTCAGCATCATTGATCATTCAAAAAATGCAAATTAACGCTGAGATTCTATCTCATTCCAGAAAGAATGGTTAAGATAAAAAAATCAACCAATGACAAGTGCTGGAAGGGTTCTGAGAAACAAGGAAGTAGGCTGATGCAACTATGGAAATCAGTGCAGAGATTCCTCAAAAAGCTAGGATTAAAGGTTCAATCTGACCAAGCTATCCTACTTCTGGGCATTTTCTCAGAAGAATTGAAAATATCATGCCACAGTGATATATGTGCACCCGTGTTTAAGCAGCACAATTTGTAATAGCCAAATCTTCGAACCAACCCAAGTGCCCATCAATCGAGGAATGGATAAAAAAGATGTGGTATTTTTATACAATGGAGTACTACTCAGCTATAAAGAATGATTGCACTGAGGCTTTTATAAATAAATGGATGTGATGAGACCATACTCATAAGTGGAATAAATCAAACTCACATGTGTAAATAGCATATTGTCTCCCTAGTATAAGAAACTGCAAGAGCAAATATGATTCAAAATCTTTTTTGGATATTGTGTAAAGGTAAGGAACTACTCAAAGAGGAAAAGTAACTGGGATAGGGGAAAGGAAGAAAGAAGGAAATGAAAAAAGACATAAATTTTAATATATATAAGATAACTAAGATGACTATACTATTCCCATTAGTTCTTAGAAAAGAACAGTTAATATTCACGTGATTAGATCAATTCTGCATGTCTATATCTAATAATCTAAGCAACCCTTCTGCAGGTAACAATAGGCAATATTACAACCATTATTAAATATCTATCATCTTGCTTTGAAAACCTATTCTGTTACTGTTTTGGGTTTGTTATTGGTTGTTTGCCTCTTCTGCTTTTTCTTTTCCTGTGTCTTTTTTTCTCTTAAATAACAAAATAAAATAAAATATTTTAGGCAATAATAACGTCCACCTTTGCTTGAATTAGCTGGAATTTTATTGCCTGTTTTCTCCATATTTTATATGAAAATCATTTAAAATACATCAAAAATTATTAATCAAAGTAATGAAATTTCACTTTCTAGGTTAATGTTTATTAGATGTGTGACATCCAAAATATATCTAAAATATATTCCTAAGACTGTTTTCATAAAGCAATTTATATGTAAAAAGGGATATTACCTATGTGACACAGATGCCCATTAAACCAAGATTGTAAAACACAAGATAGCACAGGAAATATTTCAATTCGATTCTGCTAAGAACAGAAAAACATAACTCAAATTCATTCACAATGAAATTCAAATTATTAAAATACCAAAATATTTTCCTACCTGACGAGTTTCTACTCCTGGATTCATGGCCCTGAGGATGCCCACAGCAGCACTGACTGAATTGCTCAGGAATGGTACCAACTAGAAAATAAGAGACAGGGAAAGGAACAAGAAATTATTCTAGACCAGTAAACAATGTAAACAAGTAACACGTGCAAAAATTGTTCAATGTATACTGTAAAAGATCACAAAATTTTAATCAGAAAAGATTTAATTTAGAAGCTGGGTATGGTGATCCAAGCCTGCAATCCCAGCACTTGGTAGGCTGAGGCATGAGGATTGCTGTGCATTTGACGCTAGCCTGGGCTACAAAGTGAGCTGAATGTCAGTCTGAACTGCATAGCAAGGTCCTGTCTCAAAAAGATTAAAAAAAAAAAAAGATTTAATTTAGAACATAGAACCAATGAGAAAGGAACTGGGCATGCTAAGATTAAAGAGTATATAATTGGCCTCACAACAAGACCAAAAGGAAAGAAGGCTATGCAAATGAATCAGTGCCTATAACAGGCATGTGTAAGATAGAAGTACAGGAGTTTGTGCAAAGTGGAATTAAAAATCACAGCTGACCAAAAGCCCATCTGCTGTCCCAATGGATTCATATTTATGCTGAGACCAGGCCTTCCCAGGGACTACTCCCAGTCAATGACTTTGGGCCTGTTGGTGTAAGTCAGAGAATTCCTGTCATCTCAGGGCTTAGGGCTACTCTTGCAGTCTGACTAGAACACTCTCAGAACTGCACTACAGCCTCCGGCTCTTCTTGCTCATTTGCCCTCCTTCCTACCCTCTTTCTCCAGGTATCAGACCTGCATCCTGACCTAAAGACACTCCTTGCCTTCCTGCACCCTCCCCTCTAGCCTTCACAGGTGTCTCCCCCGTCAATCTCTTGTGTATCTAATATCTTCTTTTCATCCACCTCCCTGAGACCCCAAACTGAGATAAGAGAGTTTGGGAAGGTCCCAGGGAATTTACTCAGACAAGACACATGTCCATAACAAAAAGGGCACTGTCCAAGTGATAAGGCAGCAGGCAGAGCTTAAATTCTATAGACCCTTCTCTTGAACACAAAGGTTTCAATATTATCTTTGAAGACCTTGGAGTGTACCTTAGGGACCCCTACAGGGGTGACAGAGGGACAAAGTTTTGTCTGAAGATTTTTTTTAGCTAAAAAAGAAGTGATGAGGCAATTTAAGGGTTTTTGTTTTTGTTTGTTAATCCTGTCACGGGGCTTCTGGGGATTGGTTATCTGCAGCATTGCTCTGCCTGCTTCCTAAGACAGCCCGTTTTCCACTTTAGTCCTACTCTAGCAGTTCTGACTGTAGGCAGATCTCCTCCACACCCGTTCTTCCTACTACCTCAATGCTGTTTCTCACAGATGCTGTGGACGCAGTAGCTTTGGTCTCCTTTACTCTGAGTTGAAACATTTTGTCTGTCTTTAAATTGCACTGAGTATGTGGTTTGTTTTCTGTTTTCAAAAGGATTCTCCTCAATACTGTAACAAAACTGCTACTATATTCCTAGTGTAGGAAGGATTCTGATGAATGTGACCAAAGTTTTGTGTGTTTAAGTCTTTATACATCTGAGTCAGGTAATGTACTTTATGCATTTTAATCTACAGTTTCTGACTCTAAAATTAGAACCCAAATCTAATGTGGGTGCTTTTGATGTAGAATAACAATCCCAACAGATTTATACAGACGTTATCAAGGGAGAGTTAGGAGCTGGAGAAAGTAAGAAGAAAGGGTCAGAGCCACCTATCAGGTCAGAATCACTACTATGGAAAGATGATATTCCTGAAAAGAGTGCATCATGTCAGATTTGCTGCAGTGAAAACAAAGTTGAAAAATAGCTGCTTTAAATTCTCCTTACCCAAAGGAGAAGGTGAATAAGGCCTGGAAGACCCAGTAGAGAGTCTTCGTCCAACTGTCTGTACTGTGTCTGCTGGTGCCGGGGAGCAGGATCCCAGCCTAAGGAAGCCCAGGGGGCTGGTGTTAGACCTTCGTACCACTGCAGATCTAGTGAAAAAAGGAGACTGACTTACTCTGACAGGTTCTAGCATTTCCTCTTTTTTCTATTTTTTCCTCTGAAATTTTCTAACAATATGGTACAAAGACAACTTTCTACAATTGGGCAGCAGGAGCTGGGGATATAGCTCAGTGATGCGGCATCCAGTACATACACACACACAAATAATAGTAAAATAAAAGATTTTTAAATTAAGAAAAAAAATAAGTAACAAGTCACATGAAATACAAAAAGTAAAAAATAAGAGTATTATCTCCCTCACCTCTCTAATTCTCAGCACTTCTCTAATCCTATTTAAGTATTTTTAGTTTCAAGTGCAGCCTTCCAGAATTCCTTAATGCATATACAGTATAACCAAAATGAACACAAATTATATTTACCTTATTTGAACATAGGTGATATATACTACTTTCAATCTGTTACCGTAGGTGCCCTTTAGACTCTTAAATATTACCGAAGACTCCAGGAAATGTTTATTTATATAACATTATCTATTGACATTTACTGTATTTGAGATTAAAGTAAGAAATTTTAAAATTCATTAAAAATAATAAACTCGGTGCAGGGGATTTAGCTCAGCAGCTTAAGTGCCTGCCTGACAAGCACTAGGTCGTGAGTTCAATCCCTGGTATCAAAAACTAAATTAATCAAAAATAATACTTATTAAATTTAACATGATTATGAAAAACAAGTGTATTTTCCAAAAACAAATTAGTGAAGATAATGGCATTATTTTACCTTTATGCAAATCTCTAACATCTCATTTAAGAAAAAAATCTGGATTCTCAAAACTGCTTCTGTATTCAATGTTATAAAATGTACTATTTTGGGTGAAATACAGAAAAATGAGCCAGTTTTGCATAGATATGTACCGAAAAAATCAGAGAATATTTTGATAATCCTTTCAGATATCTGTGGTCCTCTGATAGTCAAAGCAAAATCTCATCAAGTGGTGGTTTCTAAATTCAGCCTGCAATGAGAGATGTGAAATTGTACCACAAATTCTATAATAAACTCCATTCTTGTGTAAAATATCTTGCAATTTGAAAAACATTTTATTCATGCATTTTTTTAAACATTTCATTTTTGGACAATGCTGGTTCACTGAGTTACACTGATATTACAAATATTGACACATTATACAATAGCAAATCACATTCAAAGCCAGGCATGGTGGCATGGTAGCTCATGCCTGTAATCCTAGCACTGGAGAGGCTGAGGGAGGGGGATCATTGAGAGTTCGAGACCAGCCTGGGCTACAAAGTGAGCTCAAGACCAGCCTGTACTGCACAGGAAGACTTTTGTCTCAAAAAGACAAAAAAGGTCATTCATACCAAATGGCAGGATTTCATTTTTAATAAGCTATTCAATTCTTAAAAGTAATTATACTTATGGATAAATATATAAGCATATACATATATATATATATATATATATATATATCCACATACACAAACATTTGAAGTTTGAGATCTTTCAATAACATACAGTAACAAATGAATAAGCAAAACTTAAAATACAAGCTTACCTTGGAGAACCATGCGGATTTGTACCAGAGCCAGACGTCAGATTCTGCTCAATGCGCTGGTAATTCCTTATTTGAGTAGGAACTGGAATTGGGGCTGTTTCACTGTGAGGTGACACAGTAGGTTGACATTGCCTGTCACATTTTATTTAAAAAAAGAAATAAATATCAGTAGGACTTTTCTGTCACGTGGCCTGTGAGTGATACAGCATATTCTAAGAAAGCACCAAATGATCATTCTGAATGTGAACAAGAAATAATCTTGTTAAAAAATACATAAAACCCAAAAAAAATCACATCTGTCATCTAAATAGCTTCCCCTGGCCTCCAGACTAAGGACTAAGAATTTTATCAATAACCTGAAAAAAACACTCTTTACAACAGGAAAAGTGAACAGGTCAGCAGAACTGCTACTCACTACTATATGAAAACAAAAACTATGTCTAGGAAAATACACTGGATAAAAAGAATAAGAAGTTCAAAAGCAAAGATGACTGGAATGTTTTATAAGTCATGAATGCAGTATGAATCCCAAGAAACTCTCACTTCATGACAACTGAAAACAAACACGCAACTCTCAAAGTACACAGCTAATCTGAAGACCACATTTTTCTTGCTTTTCGTAAATTAAGAAAGTTATGTCCTTAGATAACTTGCAATTCCTTTAAAAACATATACTGGAACATACCAGGAACAACACTGGGCCTTAAGATTACTTTCTTCTACTCTTCCAAAACTCTAAAATGGTTGCATGAATCTCTCAATGTTTTCTCAATTACAATACAATTATAAAGGGATCAAATGATTAGCCATTCAAAAAAAAAAAAAACAACCCTATAGCACCACCTAAGTATTACAGATTTTCAATCATTAGAATATGCTACATTTAAATAACAATCTCCTGAACAAGAATGTTCTTGTTTTTCAATGTCTATTACTCAGTACTTCTCAACAGAACTCAATACTACTCAGGTAGTGACATATAGTTAAATTGTATCATATTCCAGATTCCTTTGTATCCAAGAGTAATTACATGTCTTTCTTAGCCAAGGAAATGTAAGTGGAAGTCTTCTATTCATTCTTTCTTCTTCCTGCCCAAATATGGGTACTCGTGGGGCGCCTACAGTAGCAACTTTGGAACCACAAAGAAAAGGCTAAGAGAACTGAAGATACCTAATGCTCTTGATCCACAGAAACAAAGGCAACAACTCTCTTGATGTAAGGAAGTTTTTAGTACTGAACTGCACTGCAGTCAGGACTCCATTGTTTACAGTCAAGTGGAATTCCTGAGTCACAATTTAGTGTTCTTCTATACTTTCTTTAACAAAGACCTATTTTTGGCCAGTGATACAGCTCAGACACCGCCCTGGCAAGCACAAGGTCCTGAGTTCAATTCCCGATGCCCAAAGGAAAAAAAAAAAAAAGACAAAACAAAGACCTATTTTTCACTTAGTGTATCTTTAAATTTAAAGTATCTTTAAATATGGTATTTAATATTTTTAATATCTATTTAACTCATATTGAGGTTTATCTGCATTCTGAAAATAGAAAATAACCAATAAAAATGAAAACATACCTACCATTCACAACTGAAACAGCTTCATAAGACTTCACTAACTAGCTCTGGTGCCTGCAAGCCAATGTACTCACAGGCCTGAGATGCTAAGTTCCTTATGAAGAAAGTAACCAGTATAGCCATCAACTGCTTTTTTTTTTTTTTTAAGACAGTCTTGCTATATAATTCAGGCTGGCCTTGAACTCTATATATAGCCAAGATTGGCCTCAAACTCATGGTAGTCCTCCTGTCTCGGCCTCCCAAATGCTGAGATTACAGGTGTGTCCCACTATGCCCAGCTTTTAGAACAGGAAGACAAGTCACATCGTCCTACTACTTCAGCTTAAGAAATAATAAAAAGTTGTTGAATATTTGTTCCCCAATGAAATACATCCTCTTATTTTTAACTTACATATGATCAAGTTCTAGTATTTTTCCCATAGTTGTTAATCTCCAAAGGAAGTTTAGAAGCTGCATAAAGTTACCCTAAGAAATAAATTTAAAAACCTCATAATTCATAGCACCTCTCTCACTGAATCTCACCCCCACTCAGTGTATCAGGAGATACATCTATGGCTGGTGTACAATAAATGTCTGCGTCAGCCTCCACACAGCCCCGGCAAAGCAGGCTTATTCAGCAACTAGAGTCTCCCTTAGTTTCTAGAATACATAAGGAATTCAAAACAACTAAGTAAGAACAATATCCTCAAATAACTCAATTAGTCAATTAGTGAATACCTTAATTAGATTTCTCAAAAGGCATACAAATGGCCAACAAGCACGTAAAAAAATGCTCAGCATCACTAATCATCAGGGAAATGCAAATCAAAACCAGTGCGATAACATTTTAACCTAGTTCAAATAACTATTATCAAAAAGACAAAAAATAACAAATGTTGTTGAGAATTCTGAGAAAGGGAAACTCTCCTAAACTATTGGATATGTAAATTAATATGGCTATTATGGAAAACTAAATGGAGGTTCCTCAAAATTCTGAAAATAGAATTACCATATTGTCCAGCGATCCTATTACTGAATATATAGCCAAAAGAAATGAAATCAATATGTCAAAGAAACTTTTGCAACTACATGTCTGTTGCAGCACTGTTCATAACAGCCCAAGATACAAAAATCAACCTACGTCCACTGATAGGTAAATGGCTAAAGGAAACAGAAAAGGTATATATTCACAGTGGTATATTATTCATCCACATAGCACAGCAGGATAACTAAGGTTGACAACTGTTTCAAAAACAGCTAATATGAGCAAGGCGTAAGGGTGCACACCTGCACACTCAGCACTTGGGAGACTGAGGCAAGAGCCTGGGCTACATAGTGAGACCCTGTCTCAAAAACAAAACAGAACAAAAAAAAAAAAAGAAAGAAAGAAAGAAAGAAAAAAGAAAAGCTAACATGGAGGGTTTTTAATGATTCTCAAACAAACAAATAATATAGATCTGAGGGAAGAGACATGACAACTTACACATTATATACATGTATTTAAATGTCACACTGTATGTGTCAATAAAAAAAAAAGCTTTCCCCCTGTTTAGCTAAAAAAATAAAAGTAAGTCTTCCCTGAACCTCTAAGCTAGCTAAGACCACTACCACCAGAAAACCCACTCAGGATCCCTTCTGTCTCTCTCTCAAACAGAAGCTTTCTTTCTCTCAACAAATATATTATGCTCTTACTCTCCATTTTTCCTAAAATTTATTCTATGATTTTAGAGAACACAAACTGTACTGGACATCTACTAAGTTGGGAGTATCATTTCCTTATAACAATTGGAGGTCTTCCACTGAGAACACTGGACAGAGAGGTAATAAAGAGTTTGCTTGTTTCATAAACTCTGGACTGGGACTTGTTTAAGTATAAAGTCTTTAGAAAAGACAGAGTCTTTGGCAAGCCACTTGAGACCCTTTCTATGTCTCTCTTGGGCAGAAGCTTTCTTTCTCTCGATAAATATATTTTGCTCTTAAGAAAACAAGTAAGACCACTAGTGCCATTTTTCTGTCCAGCTTTATATGAACACCACTATCTAACCATCACCCAACTCCCCAACCCCAAGATGGGGAGAGAGAAGGTCCCTGTATGTTATGAGTCTCTAATATGTTCTGTTTATCTCCATTAGGTCCTGCACTTTAGATAATTTTGTGGGAACCACCACCTATGTTCCTTATTTGTTTTTTGTTTCTTTGGTGCCAGGAATCGAACTCACAACCTAACACTTGCCAGGCAGGCGCTGTGCTGCTGAGCTATATCCCCAGCCCGAACCATCATCTTTGACCCTGTATTGAGTAAGACTAAAGAGCCTGATCATAGCAGAATCACACTCCACTTATGTACTCTCTCAATTGCTGAAAGACACAAATTACCCAAACAATAAATGAAAACGAGGTGAAACAGGAGACTCTGTATCTTGTCCTTGACTCCTTCATCTCTGCTCTTTCCCTCTTGCTTCTGGTTAACAAGACTTAAGCTGCTTTATCCTATCACATTCTGTGATTTCTGCCTCAGAACAGGCTCAAAAACAATGGAATTGAGTGACCATGGACTGAAACCTCTGAAAACATGAGCCAAAATAAATTTGTTCTCTTTTAAGTTGTTTACCTCAGGTATTTGCCATAATGACACAAAGCTCACTAAGATAATTCCTATAATTAAATTCTCAAATCCTCAAAGGTAGAAAACAAGTCTGTACAAAATTTGACTAATTTCCTAAAATGTGTACTAACAGAACTCAATATACCACTGCTACTCAAGGGGGGCCCTGGAATACATTATCTTTTTCCTAACAGTACTGGGATTTGAATCCAGGGCCTCCTCATTAAGCTATATTCCAATCTCTCTTTATGTTTTATTTTGAAAAGGGTCTCACTAAGTCCCTAATGCTGTATACACTAGGATAAAAGCATATATACACAACCCCAAAGAAAACATACTCCAAAACGTATCAGAAAAGTTCTGGAACCCCTAGCCAAGCTGACTGATAAACATCTTCCCTTTCATGAAGCCAGATCAAGACAAAAGAGAGGCAGTTGTTTCTTTTAAATGTCTAATTTTCAGCTATGGCATGGTGCTGCATGTCTGTAAGCCTAACACTCAGGAGGCTGAGGCAGGAGGATCACCATGAATTTGAGACCAAACTGGGTTACACAGTGAATTCAACACCAGCCTGAACTATATAGCGAGACCCTGTCTCAAAAATGACAAAAGGAAAAGAAACATTCAGTTTTTAAGAATTATCAACAAAGAGACAGAAATTAGTTTTAAAAATGAAAATTCTCTAGCTAGAAAATATAAAAATTGAATACAGAAACTGACTAGTAAATTCAACAACAGATGGGATCAGGAAAAAAAGGCAAACTCAAACAAGGTCATGATGAGCAAGAAGAAAACAGAAGTTAGCTCGGAGAGATAAGTAACAGTAGTAGAGCACATGTTTAAGTAAGCAAGATCCCACGTTCAATCTCCAGCACCTACCCCAAAAATGGAATTAAGAAACTGGAGAAGCCATCGTTAAGGTGATCCATATGTATTACACAGGTACCAGAAAACAAGAAAAAGGAAGAGAGCAGATTTGAAGAATTAATGGCAGAAAACTTTCCAAATCTGGGAAAGAAACAAGAAGCTCAAGAAATTCTAAGTATGAAAAACCCAAAGAGACTCAAAAAATAAGATACACTGTATACAATCAAACAGCCAAAAGTCAAAGACAAAAAGAATATCTTGAAAGCAACAAGAAAAAAGTGGCCCACAGGGGATTTAGCTCAGTGGCATAAGTACCTGCCTGGCAAGCGTGAGGTCATGAGTTCAATCCCTAGTACCGCAAAAAAAAAAAGTGACTCACTATATATATATAGGAACTCCCATAAGATTATCATAAGATTTCTCAGCACAAATTTCACATGCCAGAAGGGCATGAAATAATGTAGTACAAATACTGAAAGAGAAAAACTGTCAGTAAGATTACTCTATCTAGCAAAATCACCCTTCAAAAATGAGAAATGCAGCAGGTATAATGGCATATCCCTGCTATTCAGGAGACTAAAGCAGGAGGATCACAAACTAAAGGCCAATTTAGGCAATTTAGCAAAAAAACTGTCTCCAAATAAATTTTTAAAAGGTAGGTATATAGCTCAGTGGCTCATTGGAGAGTGTTTGACAGTACGAACAAGACCCTATTTTCAATTCATAGTACAAGGATAGGGGGAATTGAGACCTCCCTAGAAACACAAAACCAGAAGGAAAACTGGACTCACTGGCACACATCTGGATTCCCAGCATTTGGGAGGCTGAGTCAGGGAGGATCCAGAATGTGAACCCATTCTGTTTTTGGCTTTTCAGCAAGACTTTGTCTCAAAAAATAACAGAAAGGGCTGAGGATGTAACTCAGTTCAATCCTTAGTACCATGGAAGAAATAGAGATAGAAGGACAGACAGGGGAGGGAAGTAGAGGAGAAGAAAGGAGCAGAAAAGAGAGGAAAGGAAACTGCCACATGGTACAATGTGGATGAACCTTGAGGACATTACTAAGTAACATAAGCCATTAAAAAAAACATGCACACACAACTAATTTCATTTACATGAGGTATACGCAGTAGTTAAACTCACACAAACAGAATACACTGGTGGTTATCAGAGCCTTCATGGAAGGGAAAATGAGGCAGAATTACTAAGTACGAGTTTCAGTTGTGCAAAATTCTAACCAAATCTGGAGAATGGTAGTGCAACGATGTGAATATAACGTAACACTACTGAACCATAAACTTAGAAATGGCTAAGAAGTGGCTTTTTAAAAAAAAAAAAAAAATGATACCAGGGATTAAACTCAGGACATAGTGCTTGCCAGGCAGGCACTGTGCTACTGAGCTATACCCCTGGCCCTTTTATGTGCTTTTCATCACAAAAGTTTTTCTTTTAAACAATGATGAAGTGTGAAAAAACAAAATAAATACTGAATCAAGAACAAAAGTTCTATAAACACACAAAAATAACAAAATATGAAAAATCTTTTTTAATAAGATGTATGTAAACATACCCTCCACACACTAAGAACTCATTTGAAACATGTCTTCCTGTAGTTGCCACTGGTATATCATCTGGAGAAAAAGAGAGAAACATAATCAGTTCTATTATTCCACATGCAGATTTGTTCCAATAGGGTTAATATCTAAGTATAACATTAATTTACCATTTGCTTACGTTTCAATTTCATCCGAGAAATAAGTGAATACAGAAAACTGCCCCAAATTGAATATAAATTGCAACTTTTCACCATCCACTTTTTTTTTTGGGGGGGGGGGGGGTTGTTTTGGTTTTTTTTTGAGACAGGGACTCACTCTGTAGTTAGGCTGGCATTGAACTTACTGCATTGAACTTACTATATAATCTAAGCTAGCCTCAAACTTGGGGCAGTCCTTCTGCCTCAGCCTCCTGAATGCTGGGACTACAAACCTGCACCATCATACCTGGCCTCACTGTCCACTCTTAGAAATTTGTGGCAGTGTTTAATATTCCTTCACCATTTAACATGTGCAAAAACTGCTATTATTTTTATCAGGTTCCTTTATATGGGTCAATGACAGGTTCCTTTATATGGGTCACAACTCTGAGTGTTGTGCCCTAGTATCATTTTGCCCATCTATTCTGTTGTTTTTTTAAGTTCTCCTGTTTGTATGGTCACATGTGTGAGAGATCCTTTTGTTATTACTGAGATGAGCTCTATGTTGCCCACATTGGTCCCAAATTTATGGGTTCAAATGATTCTCTTGTGTTAAATAGTTGCAAGTACAGGTGCAGGCCACCTTCCCTAGCTTGCTCTGTAACTTTTATTGCACAATCTTGCAAACACATATCATCATTACATCAGAAAAGACTGCATAACAAAGCTGAGCTCAATCTAACACTAGAGTACCCCATCCTCTTGAATAACACTCAGGTTTTAATTGGGTTGTTGAACAGGATACCATGGTAGCAGAGTCTTGTTGGAAACAGTATAACTTGACACAGGCCAACTTCACCTACTCATCTGTGTTCTCTGTAGATGGAGTACTTTAAGCTCAGAACCTCAGGAACAGGTCTCGGGTCACTGTTATACCCACTATATTATACTGCCCTAGGTAATTTTATGTAGTATGAAATAGCAGTGTTGATCAAGTTAATATAAATATTAAAAATAAAATAAACTACACTACTAATTTATAGTCAAAGAAGGGGAATGATGTCACAAATATTCCTTTGAACAATTCTAAAATGGGAAATGAAAAATGCATTTATTTGGTACATCTTGGGTTCCTGCTTTCATGAAATTTACATTTTAGAAGTAAAAACAAATGAATAATGTCAGATAGTAATAGCAAGTATAAGGAAAATCAAGGTAGGAAGAAACAGGGACACAAAGGCAGGCATAAAAGGTAGGTTTCATTAATTATACTTTGTTTTTTGTAGCTTTGAGTTTGGAACCACACATAATTACAAAAGAAAATTGTACCAAAAGAAAAAAAAAACCTTCTAGAAATCAAAAGCTAAACAAAGCAAAGGAACCAAACTGCATACCAACTTGGTAGCTTTCTCACCAGAGGGCAATTATTTGAAGTGATTTTAAAACTCAATAATTTTGCATATCCCTAATGATTATCCTTAGGACAAAAAGATTCACAGAAAGATTTCTAAACGGCTTTTAATAATTTTAAGTCATATTTGTCTACTTTGATAATATATGGTTATTTTGAAACTACAGGGAAAGAGTGAAGGACAGGGCTGGGGGTTTAGCTCAGCGGCTAAGTGCCTGCTTGTCAAACGCAAAGGTCATGAGTTCAATTCCCCGTACCAAAAAGAAAAAAACAAAAAGTGAAGGACAGAAAAGAAGACTGAGGCTGAGGATATAGTTCTGCGGTACAAGCACCTGTCTGGCAAGTGTGAGGTTGTGAGTTCAATCCCTGATACCAGAAGACGGGGGTAACATAAACTCATGCAGGACAAAAAAGAACAGAAAAGTCTGTCCCCACAAAAATCTGGAAGCCTTAGTCCAGAAGTAAAACAATTTATATCACAGAGCTCCAAAGAAAGCTTTACTAATCAGGACCAGATACCTTTCAAACTGGCATTAAAAACAGAGCCAAAAACAGGATTATATAAAACTCTTGTTTTGTTTTGAGACAGGGTCTTACTATATAGCACAGGCTGGCCTCAAACTTCCTTATGTAAGACCAGGTTGGCCTTGAACTCATGGCAGTCCTCCTATCTCAGCCTCCTGAGTGCTAGAATTACAAGTCTCTGCCACACCCGGGTGTGAAAGCCTTTAAAAATCAGTTAGAATACACAAACAATAGTACTCAGTCATATGGGGAAGGGTTGTAAGAGGCTGTACAATATATATCAATTTATTACAGTAACAGTTTTACTGTATATACTTATAACATGTTGAATGCCTTAAGTATATGCAATAAAATTTATTCTTAGAAATACAGAATTTTTAAAAAGCAGGATTTCATAGTCTTCCTTGGCCTCTATGGAGACAATGTCAATCTCCTACTACAGCCAAAGACGCAATTTTTATACATGAAACAGAGTCAAACTGTAACTCTGGACTGTAGAATACAAGGAAGAGCTACAGGTTAGTAAAAGAAAGTTATTAAGTGACTTTACACAGATTAGAAAAAGAAAGTTATTAAGTGACTTTACAATAACTGAGATCTTCAGACATTTACCCTATTTGGTTCCCCTATATAGTATGAGATTCTGTTTAGGCAAAAGACTGGAGAAGTCTCTTTGAGGAACCTGAATAGTGCTCCAAAAAAGGAAACAGTTCAAGCAAATGCCTCAGCATTATCACCCACTATAACCACTGTCAATAAAACACACCTCATGCAGAACATTCAAGGAATTTTAAATTCTCTGTCCTTAATTATGAATATACAACACAACACTGCATTGCAAAATAACAATCTCAGGAGAAAAAAGAACAACTGAAAATTAAAAACATGACAGTATAAATTAAAACCGAATATGAGTGTGTTAAATAACTAACGGAACCTAGTGTTTTGGACTAAATTCTGCACCAGGTCCCAACTAAAAGATCAGACTAAAAATCAAAATAACATCTCACACTAAAGTTCTACATCATCACCCTGGAACTAAGCTATTTATCTGACCTTCTAAAAGATCAGGATTAGAGAGATACCTGCCAACTCTCGAAACCAGCCTCGTTTCAACTGACATGATACTGTAGTCCCCTCTGCCTTAATCGTTACACAAAAAGAGATAACCTAAAATAACCTGATGTTAACTAATTAATTATTTTTCCACTGGTGTCTCTCCTGATAGAACATTACAAGGAAAAGTAACTTGGAAATAATCGATTGGGTCTTTGCTTTTTGTTTCTGCTTTCTTCATACCTTTGCTCTCTATAAAACTAACCTCATCTGCCCAGCTTATGGAAAAATTTAATCTGTTTCATGGAACAAAGTATTGTCCAACCCTCTAAAAGAAAATAAGGCCAATTAAGATTTTTAAACTAAATTATTCTAATTTTGTCCTTTGACAAAGGTTAGAAGAAAACATTAAGAATAAAGTCCTAAATGCTAAGCAATCAGACAAAAAGATGGAAAATCAAAGAAGATAACATCAGTAGGGCACTCAGATATTTGTTATGTTCTAGTTTTAAACAGAATTGATGTTTTAAATATCTTACATGTAATGATGTATTTCACAGTAACAAATTTTCAATAACTGGGGGAGGGGGTAAATGTGGCTGGGTATGGTAATACACATCTATAATCCCAGCTATTGGGAGCATGAGACAGGAGGACCGCAAATTCAAAACCAGCCCAGATGATTTAGTGAGATCTAGTCTCTAATTTAAAAAAGAGGAGGAAAGGAGGAAGATGTGGTCAACTATAACAAACATAGACAAATCAAGATGAGGAATGAGAACTGACTCCAGACATTGACCATCACAGAAACAATTCTGAAAAGTTTATACTAGCACAGAAAACAAGTTTACAGTTTAGATTTAAAATGATCCCCCCCTCCCAAAGTCTCATGTGCTTGGAAGGTGGTTGGATCATGTAGGTACTTTCACTTGAGATCACAGGGCCCCTGGGAAAAGGGATGCCTAGGTAATTGGTTCTCCAGGATTTAGTTCACTGTATTCAACCATCAAGACACTCAGAGACCTCTCCAGCCATGATCCAAAGGGGCTACACTACTGCTCAAGCTGGTGGCAAACCTTGGTGTCATCCATGTGATGCTATTTCACAGGCATACAGAACGCAACAGATGTGGTATCAAGGAAATTTCCACTCAAATTTCAGAAGAAAGCAGTGTGCCCATGAGAGGGCAGTGTGCGAATCTATACAAGTAAGCCAAAGATGTAGTGGAGATCACAGGAAGATAGAGATACCAAAAACAGGACCATCTGTTGAGGAAAGCTTCAGGCAATGAATGGAGCCAGCGCAAGTGGCAGACCATGGTGCAATTCCTGTATAACCACAAACTGCTCTGAATGCGGGACACGAAGCTACAAAATTTAAAGTTTGCTCTTCAGGGTTTCAGTCTTGCTTTGATCTAATTTCTTTCCAAACTCCCTAATTCTTCCCTTTTGCAATAGAAATTTTTACTCTATGCCATTATATGTTGGAAACATTTGGCCTCACAAGAAGACTTTGAAGTTGGATTTTTCAGCAATGCTAGAACTGTTACGACTTTGGCAATTCTTAGAGATGAACCAAATGCATTTTGCATAATGAGCTGGTAATGAGCCTTTTGGATTAGGAAGATTTTATGGTTCAGATTTATAATGTCCCTGAATAGTCTCATGTGGCTGAAGATAACTGGATCATGGCAGACCTATACTCTTCACTGATGAGCCTACTAGCTAAATGTACTGTTAGGAGTTTTGGCCTGGTGAGAGATGGGTCCCTGAGAGGCTTGACCCAGAAGGATGTATGCTTGTGCCCAGTTCCTCTCCCCTCTGCCCCCACCACTCTCTTTCTGTTTCATGCCGGCAACAGGTAGAGCAGTTGTCCTCCACCAAGACCTCCCAATATGTGTTTTCTTTCTTGGAGACAGCCTACTTTGGACTGAACCCACTAGAATCTAAGCCAAATAAACCTTTCCTTTAAGTTGCAGGTATTTTGTCCCAGAGACAGAAAACTGACTAAAATAATAAATGACTAAAATAAAACCCAGAGCTATGAACACTTTCTATATGAAAAGTATAATAATATATCAGGATACATTAAAAAATCTAAATAACTGGAGCCACAAACATCTTGATTAGATGATTCAGTATTATAAAGACCCTAAGTGTCCCTAAGCAAGTCTACTGAATCAGTGTAATTCACATCAGCATCCCCAAATGGTTTTTATATGATGTCAAGTTGAAATTAAACTATTTGGGGAGAGTAGGGGATGGAAAGGACAAGTAGCCAGGGTGATACCAAAGAATACTGCAGTGCTATCTAACCCTCTTCCCCTTTCCTGATGACACATGTATGTTGAGATACAAATATAAAATTACAGGGGCTGGGGATATAGCTCAGCAAGACAGTGCCTGCCTGGCAAGTGCAAGGTTCTGAGTTTGATTTCTGACAACAAAAGAAAAAGCAATATAGACAAAGAGACCAACAGAATAAAATGGAGAATCCTAAAAGAAACTCAATCCTATATTTCAACCTGACATGACAAATCTGGCATCACATTACTAAATATAGAACATTCAATAAAGCTGGAATAATTGTCAGATCCCTACACTTTACTATATCTATAAAATGACTTCCAGGTAAAGTTAAATATGAAAAATAATTAAAATCTTCATAAGGAAATATAGGAAAATACCATTAAAACACTGGAGCAGCAACAATTGCTACATCTTGTTTATACCAATATTTTATAGATTTGAAGTTGTACTATCTTACCTACCCTCTTATCTATAAAATGAGTTCCAGGTAAGGCTATAATATGAAAAAAGTAACAATCTTCACATGATAAGAAAAATATCATTATAACACTGGAGTAGCAACAATTGCTACAGCTTGATCACACTAATATTTCATAAGAGTTGGAGTTGTACCTATCCTATCTACCTTCTATCCACTTAGAAGAAATTCTAGCTGTACACAAGGCCATTTCAATATTCCTAAAATAGTAAAAAGTCAGAAATAATTTGGTATAAATCAATAGGAAAATAGGCAGATTAGTTTTGGCTAAATTATAAAATTCAGTTTTAAAGTGAACTAAATACAATTAAATGTGCATCTAAATATACAACAAAAAACAAGAAAAAGCAAACTATGGAAGTAATCATACAACTTAAAACTTATCATACAACTTATGGATACAGGTGCATGTTTAAGGGTAAAAATATCTATAGGAAGAATATACATGAGAAGACTAATAAAAGGAAAGCAACTTTATATGTAGCTATAGTTTTTTTTATCCTTAGAAAAGACATTTAAAACAAATATAGCAAAATATTTGACATGTATTAAAAAAAACACAACACAGTGGTGACTGGAGAGGATGTTCAAGTATTAAATTTTCTGTCTGAAGTATCTTGTTACTTTTAAACTTTTCATTTTTGTAAAGAAATAAAACTAACCACCATAACTGTATGATTTTTAAAGGTAACTCTTAGTTCTTTAGTGCACTGATTACAAACTGTGCATACATGGTCCATGTCTACTGTGGTCCATGTTTCCCCAGCTAATAAAACTTCAGTTGTTCAGTGGGGATTATGGTCTCCTCAATAAGCATGTCTCTCAGCAGAAGCACTTATTAAATATCTGACAAAAACAACTAAACAGACTTCTTCATGTAAACATCTGCACTCAATACTTCACACTACTCAATTACTAAAGTACCCAAATCTCCAGCTCCTTTGATTCTCTTTCTTCATATCCAAATCAGTCTTCTTTTTTCTTGTTAACAATTATATTTAACACCTTTCTTCTGTAGATTTTCTGGTACCTTTTACTATTCCAAAGAACAGTGATTACATTTAGCTAATGTGGGTCTCAATTTCTTTATACAAATTTTCCTAACTACTCCTGAAGCTCATTCCTGAATCTGTTTCTGAATATGTTTCCTAAAATATACCTAGAACTGTTTTTAAGACTCCTCTAACTTTTAAGTTTTTCTTTCCCAAGTGAGTTTTTCTTTTAATTCCTTTCCTTAATGTTACTCATTTTGCCTGCTTCTCTCTTTCTGTTTGGATACAAATATAACTTGAGATAATCTCTTATAAAATTTTCAATACCTTTGAAATCCAGAATTACTGTTTTATAGAAGATAAATGTGTAGATCTTAGAAAGGTAGGTATGTAATTATAAGAATACAAACTAAATAAAATGAAAAGGCACTTGAAAAGGCACTCTATACAAGAAAGTGTGATATGAAAGTTTAAAAAATTTAATCTAATAAACTAAAAAATATAATGTGTACAAGTAGAAAAGATTCTCACATGAGTGGTCTGACGAGATGTTGTGTGGAACCAAAACAAAGTCATCCGTGTCACAAGAAGAGTTCTTGCTACTAGTACTGGCAGAATCTTTGGACACTTGCAGATAGTTGGGAGGACCCAATGGTGGGGAGGATAAGTTTTCTTCCTGAATATGCTGCATATCTGAAAGGGACTAAAATTAACAACATAAAATTAAAACTGGCCTAATAATAAAATGCAAGGCAGAACAGCCATTAGAGTAAAGAATGTTTTTTTCTACATAAGAGGGCAGAAAGTTCAATTCAATCTAAGATTTCCAAAAAAACTCTGAAAAAATCTTTCAGAAAAGCAGATTAAAAGCGTTTCCATAAAGACTTCTAAAATTTTTCCAAAAGTGACACTTAAAATATATCATACCACTTATTACATATGCTTGTCTACCTCTCAAGTTTTGAGTAGGTGAGTGAGTGTTTTGAGTGCTGGAGATTGAACCAGAGCCTCATGCATGCTAGAGAGGTACTCTACTATTGACCTTCCCAGTCCTTTTTATCTTTTACTTTAGACAAAGTCTTGCTAAATTGCTCAGCTTGGCCTTGAGCTTATGATACGCCTGCTTCAGTCTCCCAACAGCTATAGAGATGCACCACCATGCCTGGCATGGTGAATTTTTATCTTTGCAACACCCCTACCCAAGTTATAGCATCACAAAGCAAGCACTCGATAACTACTTACTTAATAGATAAACATAAAGGTACAGGAACTTCAATTAAATATTCTGCACACACAAAAGTTCTACATCTATAAGAAAGAAGCCATTATAAAAAAAGTAAAGTGACAGACCATGTTATATAAGAGGTCACATAAATCAATAAGGATAACTATACATTGGACCAAAAATTTATTTATACTCCAGAAAAAAAGATCCAGAAAACCTTACAGTTATGTTTAGTAATTTTGTTTTATATTAGGGAGAGGAAGTGGTTTTTTGTGGGAGAGATGACAGGAAGGGACATATAAATAAGACATTTAAACAAGTAATTACAGATAACTACCTATGTCGCTTTTGGCATTTGTCAATTTCAAGCACTCTAGTGATAATTCAACATCCTCATTATAGAATGGGGTATTTTAGGTTATGGTGGGGGTGTTGAGACCAGATCTATATAATACAGGCCTTCCTTGAACTCACTTATGTCGCCCAGGCTGACCTCAAAAATCACAGCAATTCTCCTGCCTCAACTTCCTGTGAGCAGGACAGCGGTATGCTATCATGCCCGAGTAAAACAATGAACTTAACTTCTATAAGTTTTTCATAACTCCTATGACCTTGTTTAATCTTTGCTTTTATTTCAAAAAAAGGAAAAAATACTATATTCTGCTTTTTAAACCCATACCTTAAATACCCTATTCAGTCCTGTTGCTCCTTTGAATATCACTGTGCAATGAAATCAGTCTCAAAGCATCTTTGTATGTGAGACTTGTAAACACAAAATCTCCTTATCACTTGTTGAAAACATTATATGTAAAGGGGAAGGGAAAAGAAATGGACTAACATTACTAAGGTTCAACCATATGCCAGGCATTGTTCAGTGCTTTCATGTCATCTAACTCCAGTGTTATTCTAATTTCATTTCACATTTAAACAAACAAAAGCTCAGATGACTAGGTAATTTGCCCAAGTTCACATATCTAAAACATAAAGTCAAGCTAAGATGTGATTCCAAGTATCCAACTCCACAATTTCTTGTCTGTAGTTTAGAGATGAACTTTCTCTGTTTCTTCTCCTGCTATTTGCAAAAGCAACTATCCTGGTCCTCTTTCTTCCCTTTTGGGAACAAATGTTTCTTTTCTTTCATTTAAAACTAAACTCTCCAAGTGAACGGTCATGAGTTCGATCCCGGTTACCCACTCCAAAAAAAAAAAAAAAAACTATTCTCTCTACCTGGACTCTGCACTCCATTCACCCCTACTTCCTCAGGGACACAGATCAGTTTCTGACAGTTTCTGACTGTCCCTTTATTCTCTCATTCTTCTCTGCACATAAATGTAAATTTCATATTTCATATTTCTACTACCCTTTGATTCTATCACTTTTTTATGTATTAGCAGTTCCTGAGTAAGACCTCAGTCCTTCTCTTCACAACAACTGTTTCTTGAAATGTTCTGTCTTCACTGACTCAAATTCTTCACTTACATCTTCCTCAGTCCACCATACTCCATCTTCTGCTTTCAGTCCTCCAGTCAGTCACCAACAAGGTCTCACTGCTCCATACTTGCTGCTCTCCCAAACTCAAACAAGCTTCAAGACGTGAAAATTCTTTACCTTCCTTTTATATTTGCCTTCCTCCTTTTCCTTTCCTACTCCTTCCTTAGTTTGGACTCTTGTTCTCAAAATGATGATGATGATAAGCATTGTAATATCTCAGGTTTTTCTCATTTTTCTAGTACAAAGTACTCTGTACCTCTCTCCAATCTAGTCCTCCACCCTGCTTTGGAAGAATCTAGCTAAAATAGACTCTGGGTCTTAGCATTCCTACACTTAAAAATCACTTAAGTTGTTCATCACAGCTTATGGGCAGTTCTAATCATCTTTTCATGTAACTCTTGTCAAGATGCAGCCTCTGCCTCCCTTTCTGCTTTTTTCCCCTGCACTCTATCACCAATGTCTCTACACCCACAGACTGAATGACTGGTAAAAGCCTTGTCCTTTGTGCAAAGACAGGAAAATTCTGTATCTGAACTGTCCAACATAGCAGCCACTTGCTATTTATGGCTCCTGAGCACTTGACATGTGGTTCATTTGACTATTTTAAATTTCACTTAATTCTAAAATTTAAATGTAAGTGACCATGGGGAGTTAAGAGAATTTCTTAAATCACATTTCTGACTCTATGTATAGAGATTCCTCAATACCTTTAAATTTTTTAAAAATTAATTCATCTAGCTAATTTTTTTTTTTTTTTTTTTTTTTGGTCTTTTTATCGGTACCGGGGATCGAACTCACGACTGCCTGCTTGCAAGGCAGGCACTTATGCTGCTGAGCTAAATCCCCAGCCCCCACTAACTCATTTTTAAAACTGTTCAACCAATTTCCTCTTTGAATGGCCTTCCTGCCCAATTTTGATGCCCTTTATCCATGTTCCTATAGGCAATAAAAATATTTTTACATAACCCTCTAATAGTGATTGTATCTACTGTCTGCACAATTAAAAGTCCCTTTATATCAGAGACCTGGTCATCCTGTAACCAACAAGGTAAAATGGATCTTTTAAATAATCTTTTTTTTTTTTTTTTAAGAAACTTTTGGTACATGAGCAAGTTCAAGGTCAGACTGCACTACATAGTGAGACCCAGTCTCTAAATAAATAAGTAAGAAACTGTTCTGTCAACCTTCTCTTACAGGGAAAGTAAACTACAAACTCTCACCAACCTTACCAACTCCTACAGCTGGGCCTGATGCCAAGGATGATCCAATATTTTTAGTCCTCTGGACCAAAGCCTGGCTAAATTTATATATGGATATTTCCTCACTTTTGGTCTGTTCCGTCTATAAATTAGAATGCATCTACATTTCTATTACTTATAGGGCACACTAACACTCCCTCCATTGGCCAAACTATTAAAAAAGCCTATTTCCATGGGCTTTTCTCACACTTAAACTCAGAAACTCAGAGAGCTGGCTTAGTTTCAGGCCTGACTCAGCCCTGCTAGGTAACAATCTCATTCATTAGTGTAGATGAGAACTTCACCTGAAGTAGGTATTTGATAAATGTTATGAGACATTTATAGTCAAGAGTTAACATTTCAATAGCATTTAATCTGTAGCTAGTATCATAACTAAAAGAACTTTTTGTTGCTGCTGCAGATGATTTTGGAAACAGGGTGCCTTTCAAAGATTTGTCAGAAATAAAGCAGCAACTGCATATTTGTATGACACTTCTAAAAAAGAGCATATTACAAGCCTGTATGTATCAACTCTCCAACATGAGTCTATGGTAATCTTGAAAGGAAGATAGCTGATGAAATCATCTTACCTTTAGTAAATTAAATTTAGATCTTATATTTAATATAATATACCTTATTAAATAAAGGTCTATCAAACCATACTATTTTCTCATTAACTAGAAATTATTTCTTATTAACTAGAAATTATAAACATTCCTGCTTTGTTGCCCTGCCAGCCTGAACTGCATAGTAAGAACCTGTCTCAACAAGAAAAAAAAAAGACTTTTCTCTTAGCAATAAACAACTTTCCCATCTGTTTTAACCATGGGCCATTTAGTTTCCCTAAACAACAGTTTCCACTGCTTGATTATTTAATATAGCCAAACACTACAGGAAGGGCTTATGTGCCTTTATCCTTAACCCTAAGAAGAAGGTACACTACATTTACCTCATATACAAGCAAACAGACTGCAAGAGGTTAAGGCACTCAGTTAATATAAGCAGGAGAGACAGGAGTTCTCTTGCTGAGTGCTGTTAAATCTGAGTTATCTCAACAGGCTAAAGTTATACAATTCCTCCATATATAGCCCCCTCACCTTCCTACTATTATAGACAGCAGAAATATTACAGGGTTAGACCCTCAAGGGAGTTGGTGCAGAAGATGAGAACACATTACCACTGTGGCTGGAGGCACAATCTGTAGAAGGCCAGGCCTCAAGATAAAGATGGAATAACCAGACCTACATGTCTCCCCAAGGCATAAGCAGTAAGCTGAAAATTTTAACTTCTATGACCTGGCCCAATAAAGTCTAGACACATATCAGTTACCCATATGGTGACAGGAGCTTGCAATCTATCCCCCTTCTTCAAAAGGTCCTTGTTCTTTCCATGTATACTTTCTATGTGATCCGTTTCCTGACTGTATCAATATTACCTGTGTGACTATACTTATAATCTTAGCGGTTGATCACAGTTTTGACCCACATTGTACTCACCTCCTGACTGCTCTATAAAACTTCCTCTGTGAAGTGAGGTCCATGGCAACTTACTTTCAAGTCCTCTCCTATCTCTCAGAAGCTACGGCTCTCAATAAATTTTTCCTATTCTTAACTTGAATTGTTCCTTAGAATTCATTCTTTAATTTTGGGAAAAATGAACTTGGCCTATCCTACATCTAGCAGTTTTGGAATTACATTTATCCCCCCTAAATCACTACTAGCAAAATTCAAGAAATTCAAGTCCGCCTAGCTAATCTAGAAAATACAATAGTTGACCTAACAGGCCTGGGGCCTTCAGCCTTGGAAAGAGTCTCAAGGCCACAGACTGCAGTAGAGATTTGAAGGAAGGATCAATCTAAAAAAGCACAAAAGTGGGGAACAATGGTAGGAAGTAGTGAATACAAAAATCAGAAATCTTCATAATAAAAATATAACATTTAAACTGAAAGAATCACAGCCATTAAGGAAATGAATTAGAAACTTCAGAAGCAACATGTTTGAGCAACCCTAAAGGCCAATAATCACAATTAAAGAAATCCAAGCCAGTAAAATCTGGTTCCAAGGTCACTGCATTTCAGACAGCTAAATTAGTCAAATATAGCTGGGCCCTTCAGAGAAAGTCGAGACAAAAGGTAAAAACACTATGACTATGGCCAGCGACCATCAATTAGAGGCCAGGCCTCAGGATAACAACAAAAGGACCAGGCTAACATACTACCCAAGGGATAAGTGATAACACCTACTCTAATAAAGTATAACTAGGCATCAGTAATCTCAGTGAACAACCAAGATCTGGATCCATCACCTACCTGAGAAATTCTTTATTCTTTACAAGCCCATTTGCTTCATGACTTGCTTCCCCATTAGATTAACATTACCTAAACAGTTACAGTCTTACTGGTTGGTCACAGTATTAACCCATACTGTACTCATGTGGTTGAGTTCTATAAAACTTATGCTGAAAAGTAGGGTCCTCAGGCAACCCACTTTCCACATGTCCCCTCCTGTCCTTCTCCGACAGAAGCTTTCTATCCCTCAATATTTCCTACTCTTAACCTCCATTGTTCCTAGAATTCATTCTTCAGTTTTAAAGAATACAAACTTGGTATATCAGACATCTAACAGGTTGGGAGTTACAATATTTTCTGTATATCATATTTGGAGGTTCTGATGTCATCCTTGTATCAACTGTACCACTGGCAATGCTAATCCTGACATTTACAGGGTCCAGGTAAAGCGAGGTGTGGTGTTGCATGCTTATAATACCAGTGCACAGGAGGCTGAGGCAGAAGGATTGCCATGAGTTCAAGGCCAGTTTGAACTACATAATGAGACCAACTCAAAAGAGGAAAAAAAGGAATAAAAAAGAATCTAGATAAAATAGTACCTATCCACTTCTAACAGATACTGTCTGCAAGTTTCATCAGCAAAACCCTATACAAAGATGATAGCACTGTACTCACTGTTGTTAGGAAAATGGCCCAGAGAAGTGGCATTTTTTAACTGAAGCTACACGGCTCGATAGGGGGAAACGTCCAAAGGTAAATCCATTTGACCCAACTCTTTTTCCTAAATCTCAGCTGCATTAGTAAATACTACACATAAAAAGAACATCCACAGTATATTTCCAGATTCCATTTGTGAACAGATGCAATAATATTGTAGCGTCAGGGGTCACAAAAGGAAAAGAATAAAATAGGATCTCATTATCTTCATGAAGATCAATAGGAAAACTTGCTAAAAGCAGTTTTGGCCTTCACAAGTAGACTCTGCAGTTAAAGTAATTAAAAAGACAAAGAAGGGAGAGAGAGACTAGACTTGGGAAAGGCACCAAACATCCTAATTACCATTAACATTGAGGAAGCCAGAAAGTAAAGACCAGGAAAGCCAGTTCCCCTCAGCAACCTGACAAAAATACAAGGGTAGTAAGAGACAACTAAGGACTCTTGTTTAATGTCTCACACACACACACACACACAAGTTCACATGTCCCCTTTATTAGACTTTAAGCTGCCTTCCTAATACCACCCACCCCCACTTCACTTATGACCAGAAGGAATACAGGCAAACAAGTCTAAGTTAAGACAGATCAGATACCAACACATGGCCAGCCACCTGAGGAATGGAAAAAGACACAAGTCCCCAATAAAAAGAACCAGGGATAAGAGTTCATGGCTTTCAGTTCTGAAGCCTCCTGCTACTTCACAGTAGCTGCCTATCCCCTTTCTCTTCCATCTTTTCCCCTCAAATATACCATCCTTTGTTACGCTAAACTTTGCCCCTTTTTTAGTTCTTCACTGGCATCAGATTTAAGATTGCTGAGAGCTGTGTTTTTAGCAGAACAGCGGCAGGATGTGCTATGGCATTGTGAGCTATCCACCCCTAGATGTAACAGCACTAATTATAAGATTACTTTTAATAAAACCAAAACTTACTGGTGGAGAGGCGAAACGACAAGGTGGAGAGCTGCCAGAGGAGCTTCCAGGAAGCGAGCCAGCATACGTGGGCACTGGGACTGGGCAAGCTAGGGAAGAAACACAAAATGCTGCACCACACTATAGTGTACTGTGAGACCCAATTAAAACACCTGTTAAAACTATGGCATCTTTGTGTGACAAAAAATTGCATTCACCTACTTACTACAGCATCCATGTAAAAATATAGTACTTATTCAACCATCCTAACTTGATTATGCAAAGAAAAAAAGAACCACTATTTATTATCTATTTATTTCTTTTTTGGTACCTGGGATTGGAACTCACAACCTCACGCTTGCCAGACAGGTGTTTGTGCTGCTGAGCTAAACCTCTGGCCCCTAAGAACTACTATTAAATAAACACAATTATAGGTATCTAGGAAAAACTCAACAAAATCTTGAGAAGCACAGTAAAACATTACTTAGTGCTGGAGTTGTGGAATGTACCTATAATCCTAGCTGATCAGGAAACTGAGGCAGAAGGATCACAAATTCAAGCCCAGCCTATGCAATTATTTGCAATACTCCATCCCAAAATTAAAGTGTAAAAACGGATAAAGATGTAATTCAGGAGTCGAATTCTTGCCTAGTACATGTGAGGCCCTGGGTTCAACCCCCAATACAGTACCCCTCAAAATTAATAAAACTGTAACATAAAATAATAATTTTTCCTTCATCTTGCATTCATTCATTAAGTAAAAATACAAAAATGGATACTTACATTTCTTTAGTGGAACTTGCTCAAGAAAAGGATGGCTAAAAAATGATTCTGTAATGAAAAAAGAGAATGTACTCTTTAAAAAGACAATGACTGGCAGATCAATAATAGCAAAAGGAAGCAGGAAGAAATGGAACTACACTGGAGCCAAGGGGAAAAAAAATTATCAGTGACATGAATCCACTTGAAGAAACAAAGACTACCAGAAATGGTAAATAGGAGACCCTATAGAATTTTTTACCTTTCTTCCCTTAAATTCTGTAAGGTTAAAGATCCACAAGCCATCTGTTTCTTACAATCTCCATGGTCATTACTACGAGAAGCTACATTCTTCTCTAATTTGGGTAACCAATACTTTCCTGATTATTCTCCCAGGTTCTTACCTTCCTTCACACACAGTCTATCCCCAATAAGCAACCAGTCTGGTCCTTCTTAAAATATTAGGTCAGTTTTCCTCTGCTCCCAACAGTCTGTCCCTAAACGGCCTTCTAGGTATTTCTCAAGCTTCTATACATGCTTCCTGCTCTATGCCTTAATGCTAGCTACTCACTTGTGTGAAAAGCTTTTCCCACAGATATTCATGTGGCTCACCATTATGTCAAGTTGATCAGGTCTTTGTTCAAATGTCATTTTTAAGTAAGGTTTTTATTGACTATCTTATTTAAAATTTCAATCCTCAACCAATCATCTCTTCCTTCTTTAAATTTTCCCACAGTACCTAATACCTTCTAATATAATACACAATTATACTTTATAATTTGTTATATATCTCAGATTTGCACTCAAATATTTCTAATAAATAAAAATATAATTGATATTTTTGTCTGAAATTTCTACAATATCTTTTTAGAATACATAAAAATAAAATTTAAAAAAATAGCAAAATATGAAACAATTATTTACCAAAGTCCATTCTATCTTTTTGGTTCCTCTGAAGCAACCCCAACAGGAGATTAGCCAAATAAGGTGAGGTTTCTCTGGGAATACTAAGGGAAAGGAAAAAACAAAATTTAAGTGGTGAGTTTATGTATAGTAGCTATATCACTTTTCCCTTCATTATAGTAAATTAAAAATGTATATGTAGTAGCATAAATAATACGTCTATAACATTACCATGCTGAAACCTCATACCTTCAAGTTGGGGGAAAAATAAAGCCTTACAATAGACTTTGACAAATGACATTAATTTGGGAAGATTCCTGTACTGTGCTTGCTACTGTATAGTATCTATAAGAATAAAGTGCTTCTTAAGGATAGACATCTTAAAACTTTTTGTCATTTTTGTATTTTGCTTTGTTTTATTGTGGTACTAGGGATCTGAACTTGGAGCCTCCACCCTCAGTCACATCCCCTTTTATTTTTCATTTTGGGAAATGGTCTTGCCAAGTTGACCCAGCTGAACTCAAACTTTATATCCACCTATATATCAGCCTCTCAGTGAGCTGGGATTACAGGCATATACTTTTTCTTTTCTTTTCTTTTCTTTTTTTTTTTTGTGTGTGTAGCTCAGGCTATACTTGAACTTAAGATTCTTCTGCCTCAGCTTCTCAAATATGGGGATTATAAGTGTGTGTCACTATGCTCAGCTTGAGTTTTAACACAATCAATATTAAAGGCTGCTATAAAGTTCTCTATTAGAAACAGAGCCACCTCTAGTCTGTCTACAAAAGGGCAGAGCTTAAAGAAATACAAGTGAGAAATAATACAATTTCTTAAACTCAATATGAAAATTACAAAGCAATGAAAAACAAGAATTTACATGTCATGGAATAAAATTACAAAAGGATATTAAGGTAAATAGGAAAAGAGCCGACTTTACTAATAAAGAGAATGCAAATTACGAATTAACTGGTCCTGTTCCATATGTGAAACATCTAATCTGATAGATTTAATATTGGTAAAAATGTGAAGAAGCATTTTCCACACTGCTGTATTAAGGTAGTCTAACTGGAGAGCACATCTTTCAGTCCAACAATTCCACTTCTAAGAGTCAATTCTAAATGCCTAAAGGTAAGTAAGCATACACACAATACATGCACGCATGCACAGAGACGTACACTCCCTTACTTTACTGAAGCCTGTTTAGTGATCATAAATTGAAAATAACAGAAATTACATAAAATAGGGGGTATCTAACTACAGAACGCTATGCAGTCACTCAAAAAGCAAAAGCAGCTCTCTACATACTGTCTATGAACATCTAAAATACATTACAGAGTCAAAAACAAGTTACAGAACAACTCCCAAAAATATAATGGAATTCTTCTGAAAGTATGTAGATGTATAAAAATAAAAACATTATAGTGTGTCTTCATTCACCTTATTTGCCAGATCTAACACTGAGTAAATTCTAGTTCTTCCCCAAAGTCAAAATAACCATGAAAAATAAATATTTTGAATTTTGAAGGTCACCAAGGCAGCTACAACATTGCAGTTAAAGACATTCACAGAAGAGGACTTCCAGTCCTGCTTCAGAACATTGCAAGAAGGGTGGGTAAGTGCTTGAAGCAAGGGGAGTCTTCTGAGGGGGATAATGGCATTATGTCTTTTATTGCAATAAATATTTTTATTTAAACACACACTGTATTTTTCAATCATATCTTACATACATAAACGAGCACTAACATGTCTAAAGAATTTCTACAAAAATATTTGGAAAGATACACAGCAAACTCTTTTTATCCCTAGAAAGCAGAACAGAGCCTAGGCAGAAATTTACATTCTACTTTATACATATCTATTGTGTTTGCCTCTCAACAAGGAATACATGTGACTTCTGTAATATTTTTCTCTTAAAGGTAACATTTTTTAAAAGTATAGCACTACTGCAGTAATTTTCTAAATTTCCTATTTTAGGAATGTTTTAGGTATGTTAACAACTTTCACATTTCCTATTACAACATTAATATCAACTGGAAAAAAGACATGAACAGAAATACATAAAACGGAAAATTCAAATAACACTGTGTTCACATATAGTAAAACCCAGTGTAATCTAAACACGTACCTAGGGATTAAGCTCCTGTTTTTTTCATAAAACATCCTTAAGTCTTGAGGACTATTAGCCTGTTTAAAAAAAAAGAAAGTTTAATGTCCTAAGCAAAGCAGGACAAAACTTCCAAGCCATATGATCGATACTCTTATTTTTGATATAGAACATAGGACTTGAATTTGAAAGCTATGTAAAATTGCTAAGGGAGCAACAGTTGAGTGTTAGAGAACCTATAAACCCTGAAGTAATCCATATGAACCAGAAAAGGTTCACTGTACCTTTTCTGAGGTCAGACTCTCAAAAGATCCTGAAACAGAAAAGGCTAAGAATCTCTATTCAAGAGCTTACATGGCCTACAAACAGGCACCCTATTGCTGTGTAAAAACTGGATTTATCTTATCTTAAGGCCTTCAAAGGATCGAAAGAATTAAGTACATTGCCATTTTATAGTGTCTCCATGCAACAAGTTAAGACACTTCTAATAAGAACTGCTTGACCAATAGAAAAACCTCTACACACAAAAATTGAAAGTTAATAGCTTGGTTATGTCAATGGCTCCTTTTTATACCATCTTGAGTAAGTAAATCTACTTTGTTGCAGTTTTCACATTCAAAATCCATGTACTGACATTATAACATGGCCACATGAACCCAAGAGAAGTCATGCAGGACCACTTCTTGACAGAATAACGGAAGAGAGAAAGAGAAGAAAAAAAGACTCCAAATAAGTTTCATAAGCCTCTGCATTTATGTCCTCAACAAGAAGTACCAGGAACAGAACTGGATATAGTTTCTAATGTTCTTCCACACTGGCTCCACCCTTTATAAGCAATTCTAGGACCTCAAACCAGTCTAAGCAGGAAGCACTTTTGTCATCACTCACACCCACTTCCCACCAGCAGCCTTGACTTCAGCTAGTTTTCACTAGCCTAAAAATATCTACCAGCCTTTAAGCCCAGTCCAACTAGAAAGGACAGGCAGGTAAAAGAAGAAAAGCAAAAGGTACTAAGACATCTGGCTCACATTGCAGTTTTTATCTGTAACAAAATCAATGTAAGTTACAAAGGAGCCAAAAACACTATTTTCATTTATAAGTCAAACACAACTGCAAAATGAGAAGAACTCAAAACTAAGGATAGGAGGAAAAAAAATCAAGCTACCTGAAAAGGTGGTTTTCCAACTAGGCATTGATATATCACTGTTCCTATGCTCCACAAGTCTGCCTTAGCATCATAATGTTGAGACATAATAACCTCAGGTGCCTGGGAGTAAAAAATTTCAAGAGACATGTATTATATTAGCTACATAATTCATATGCATATATTAATTAACAGGTAATGGTCATACTCCTTACTACTAAAAAATTAACACAGTGTAATATAACTAATCAAATGCTATTACAAAGAACTTAGAAGTAAATCTCAAAAACAATGTTGTATGAAAAGAAGAAATGTTTCTACCTATTATGATGGATACAAAGTACAGTAAGAGTTTAAATAATAAAGAAAAATAACACAACAATTACAGAATTGAGGTTTCCTAATGGCTATAAGAGGTAGGTAACTGGTAATGGGACCAGGGAAAGACAATAGAGACTTGCACAATCTGAAATATTTTCTTTCCACTTAGGAAAAAAAAAAAGCCCACAGCCCACATAGCAAAATGTTAACTTCATTAAGTATGGATGGTAAGTACAGGTCTTCTCTATATTATTCTATATGTTTTTCTGTCATGTGAAAACTTTTATAATAATAGAAAAACTATGGTGCAAAATAGCAATAAAAACTGTCCTCAAAGTAAAGGAAGGCATTGCCCTGTTGCTGTTACAGGTATATTCCCACTTTTCATCAAAAACTGCTTTTCACAAATACCAACAATTAGAACGATATTAAATATGAATCTCGATTATAATCAAAGAATAAAAAAACTTTTCCAGGCATATAGTCTAATTTACTGCCCTCCATAATTTTTAAATAATTAATTTTTTAATAATTAGCTAAAGCACTCTACATTCAAGGTAAAGTAACTGCATCTAAAGAAGTACAATTTTTTGTACTAAAGATCAAACTCACAACCTCGCGGTTGTCAGGCAGGCACTTGTGCTGCTGAGCTGTATCTCTGGCCCCAGAAGTAAAAACTTTAATAAATAAAGAGGGGAGAGGGGCTGATGGTAGGGAATGGGAATGGGGAAATAAGGGTACAAATTCCCTATGATGAATGTTATCATTATGTATATCTAAAATAAAAAGAAGTACAAAGTATGGGGAGGTGTGGTGACATACATCCATAGTCCCAGCATTGGGAAGGCTGAGGCTGGGGATCACTGTGAGTTTGAGGTCAGTCTGAACTACATACACAGTGAGACTCTGTCTCAAAAAACAATAGAGTACAAAGTAATATTTTAATTTTATTCAAATTTAAAATTTATTATATGTAAGCAATAAAATTATGATCAAGAAAGTTAATTTGATGAAAAACAATTTTTTTTAGCCAGGTCTGGTGGCATACACCTGTAATCCCAGCATTTAGGCTAAGACAGGAAGATCACTGTGAGTTCAAGGCCAGCCAGGGATACACAAGAAGACCCTGTATCAAAAAAAAAAATTTTTTTTGACCTTTTGTGACTAATTCCCTTGATCTCAAAGTTGATTTTAGGGAAATTTCCTTTCCTTTTTTTGGTACTTAAGTATACTAAACATACACATTATCAATCAAATATTCCCTTAGCCTGAATGGAAGAATTTGTAATTGAATATAAACCCATCATTAACTTAGACTAAAATAGCTATATTTATTTACGTCACATAATTTGAAAGTTCTAGAATTAAGGTATCTGTAGATTTAATACTACACATTAGTTCACAACCCTAACAGACATGACAAATATCAATATAAAAAGATAAGATTTTCAGCAGTAAGTATGAGGCTGAAGGAAAAAACTACAACATACAGACAGCATTTAAAAGATGAAGTCAGGTATGATAGTCTGTAATCCCAGCACTCAGGAGGCTGAGGCAGGACTGTTCAAATTTGAGGCCAGCCTGGACTACATGGTGAGTTCAAGGCCAGTTTGTACTACAAAGCAAGACCTTGACTCAAAATAAATAAGTTTTTTACAAATAAATAAAAAATAATCATATTCTATAATAGTAGTAGATTATTTTTTAGGTATTCTTAAGTAATGGCCATCAAATATAACATGACTATACTTCATGAATTTTTTAGTTTAATCTAATAGACTTTTATCATAATAATCTTTTTAAAAATAAAAGCAAGTGGGGACCAGTGACACAGGCTTGTAACCCCAGCTACTAGGGAAATTGAAGTAAGGTGGTCATAAATTCAAGGGCAGCCTGGACAACTTAATAAGCTCCTATCTCAAAATGAAAAGCAAGAAAAGGGCTGAGGATGTAGCTCAGAGGTAGTACAGCACTTGCCTAGAAGGTGTGAGGCTCTGAGTTCAATCCCTAGTCCCACAAAAATAAATAGGAAAAATAAATAAAAATAGGCAAAAATGATTCTCTTTTATAGTCCCCTATGCTAAAATAAAAGACATCTGTTACTATAGCTCTATTGGTAATAAAACTGTTATCAGTAAAATAAATAACAATTCAGACTATAAAAATTCTGTCTCACTTGGAAACAAGTGTTATACTTAAGATTCCAATTCTTAAGGTGCTGTGCTTTAAACACAGAAGGATGCAAACTCTCACTCACCATGTACATCGGGGATCCACACAGTGTTGCAGCCATCATGTTACTATGTAAGTAACGAGCAAAGCCAAAATCCGCTATTTCACAAAACATAGAAAAACAAATGATACCTATGCTCACAACACAGATCATATGACTCTGTACAAGATGAGAAGCCACAAAAGAATTGTGAAAAATAAAGAGCTTACTAATAAGAATGTCCGCCAAAGAAAAATAATATAAAAACAGCTATCTCAATTTCAACAAGCAAAACAACAGTAGCGATAATCAACACTACAAAGTGCACCAATCTGTATAAATGATCCACTAATACAGCTCTCATTAAATATCATTACCAGATATTAAGCTTGAACTTTTTTTTCTTACTAATTGCTTCAAATAATTTTGAGATACAAGAGCACTAAAAGACTGCCAGAGGATAAACAAGACAATTTCTTGGATCACTATGTCAAAATCTCATGACCTATAAAGAATCAGGGTCATTAATTTGCTACTAATAACTAATTTGCTACTAATAACTAATTTGCCACTACATCAACTTTCCTCTAACAAAGGAAGATTACTGGGATCCATACTTATAATTTAGCCTTGTCTGAGATTTAGCATATGCTGCTAAAATAAGTTAAATAATTTACAGTATCTAAATAGACCTCAATGAACTCCATAAAAATTTCAAAACTGCACCAATAAAATGCAACATTCTAACAAAGCTGAACTAAAATTATAAATACTGAGTCTCAAAAATGTCCTTTCCATGAAACAAGATAAGGCTGTTTACCTATTTTGATGCGAATACCACTGACACTTGACTTTCTGCGATTGGCGTAAGACAACAAAATGTTCTGTGGTTTGAGATCCCTGTGGATTATTCCTTTGCTGTGAAGGATTCGCATGGCAGCTGCAATTTGATGCAGAAACACTCTGATAGTATCTTCGCTGAGAGTTCCTTTAGCTGATAGAAAAGGAGTTACATAAATATTTAAGCACACAAAATCAAATACCATCTGTGTAGTCCATCAACAGAATTGAGTGTGAGGGCGGACATGAAAGCAATAAGGAAATAGGATTCACATGTATTCATCTTTTCACTTTAATAATTGAAGTCAATAAGAGGTATCTGAAAATGGGAACCAATCTGTTGCAAAACAACAAAAAAACTTAACTTGCATTTGTTATTTTTGATTCATTAGTGTTCTTTGCTTTTCCTTTCCTACTTTTTAACCCCAAACATTACATGAGTACAAATTAAAAACAAGGTAAAATCTTTATGTGGAATTCACTGCCTTTTGCACCTGTGAGGATCCTGTGCTACACATCATCTCTCTCCTTTCGTCTCTCCTCCTTCCAACATCACTGTCCTACACAGGACCTTTCATGACTAAAGATACTTTTAAAAAGAGATAACTTCGCTATTATAAGGAGGTGATGTGTATATTACTAGAATGTAGTTACCATTCAGTAAGTACTATAGCATTTGGGGCACTTAATGGCTAATATCCTGGTATGGAGGAACTGGTTTTGTTCAAATTCTAGCTCCACTCTTCCTACATGACACTAGAAAATAATCTTTGTTGGACATAATGCTGATAAAATATGAGGCTGTTATGATAATGTAAAAAGATAACATGCTTAATAATGAAGACTTGAGAAAAATGCCTAGCACATAATATTCAAAATGTAATTAATTATACAAATACAAACTTTCTATTGCAACAGATCTAAATGTCACAAATGCAACTGCTTAATCTACATTAAAGATTAATATCCTTGAACCTATTTAAATCCTTTGTGAACACATTTCTGTCCATACAATTCTCAGAATATTTTCTATATAACCCTTTTATTTTAAGAAAGGTAAAAATAACATTAACAAATGAAATGTTACAATTTTTAAAACAACTTAATGTCATGTCAAGTGACATTTCATGGTTTTAAAATCACTTTAACCAGATGTGGTGGTGCACACTACAATCCCTGCACACAGGAGGCTATGGCAAGAGGCCAGCCTGGACCACACAGTGAGTTTAATACCCTGAACTATGAAGTAAGACCCTATCTTCAAAAAAATATATAAATACATAAAGACATACTGATATTCATGTCCTTAAAAAACAAAACTCTTTTCCAGTGAGGACTTTTTGAAGTACATTCTTCCAGAGCTACCTTCTTGTCTATGTCAAGATACACATTACCGTATTGCACATTAGCCCAGTCAAATCAGCAGCTAGCATTTCCTTCCTACCCCAGGGCCTCATACTTCCTAGGTAAGTGTTCTGCTACTAAGACACAGCCACAGCCCACAGAGCTTTATTTGAACATTTAGTTAAATTACATTGCAATGACTAAAATGGATAGAATTTTTGTATTTCATTCATCTATATTTAAGGCTTAAAACAATTTTGCTATCTTACAGTGATTATAGCTGTTTACAACTTGTATTTTTGTCTCATGACACATAATTAAAGATATTTGAAATTTACTTGATTCAGAATCCAAATTCTAACACTGTTTCCATGGGTAATAGAAACAATGGCCTAAACTGTTCTAAACACAAACTATAATAAAAACTCACATCAGTAAATCCCATAAACTGAAATTTCTACATGATGCACTTCCTTTTTTTTTTTTTTTTTTTTTTTTGGCTTTTTGAGACAGGGTCTCACTATGTAGGTCAGGCCATCCTTGAACTCACTATGTAGCCCAGGCCGCAAGGCAACCCTCCTGTCTCAGTTTCCCCAATATTGGGATTACTGGTGTGCAACACCACACTCAGCAAGAACTGCATATTTTAAAGACTTTGCCAATATCAAAATTCTTTTGAATGAATTTTTGAGCACATTAACACTAAGATAGCTGTCACACTTAGTATGTTCTGCAATAACTAATGGTAAAGTACAATTTACTTATTTAGAATTTGTTTCATTTCTTGTGATAGGAAATTGAAACCACAGATTTCACACCAAATTATTTCCCATTCTTTATCTTTTGAGACAGACTCTCACAAAGTCACTAAATTGCCCAGGCCAGACTTGATCCTCCTGCCTCAGTCTTCTACAGTAGTGAGATTACAAGTACGCATCACTGTACCCAGTTAAAATTTGTTTTATTTCATTTTTATTTTTGTGGTTCTGTTCTGTTTTTTGAGACAAGAGCTCTTTATGTAGTCCAGACTGTCCTCCCAACTCTCAGTGATCCCCTTGTCTCAGCCTCTGAATTGCTGGGAATACAGGCATGTGTCACCATGCCTGGCTGAAATTTTTTTGATTTTAAACCTGTGATTTGACAGAATTTACTTTCTATTTTTTGGAAATATTTAAGTTTTATTTATCAGAGCACATAAAAGAACTACATATTCATGCTGTAATACAATGGCTGTCCACCTTCTATACATTCCAGACTTTGCAGAAAACTGTAAAACTTTGCAGACCTCTCCAAAACATACAATGCAAGCCATATATGTAGGTTTATATCTTCAAGTGGCTACATTTTACAAAGTGAGTAGCTGGTCATGATGGTACATTCCTGTAATCCCAGCACTTAGGAGGCTAACGCAGGAGGATCGTCATAAGTCTGAGGCCAGCCTGGGCTAATGAGTCCAGGCTGGCCCGAACTACGCAGGAGATCCTGTCTCAAAACAAACAAACAAAAACTAATATATTTAACCCAATACATCTAAAATATTATCATTTAAATTTGTAATGAATATTTTAAAAGTAGTAAGATTCCATCACTCCTTCTGACGAAATGCTCAAAATTCAGTGTGTATTTTATACTTACAGCACATTCAGTTTTTAGACGAGTCACAGTTTAAAACCCTGGTTGTCAGAGGCTATTACGTTAATGCCAAGTACAGATGATTTCCTAAAACCGTAATTTCTTTCACATGTTGTTTTTTGGGTTTTATTTGTTTTGCTTTGTTTTGTTTTTGCATCAAGGTCTCACTACATAGTGCAGGCTGACCTTGAACTTATGTAACTCAAACTGGCCTCAAACTTACAATGATCTTCCTGCCTCAGTCTCCTAAGTGCTGGGACTACAGACATGTGCCACCATGCCCAGCTTTTTCACATGTTTTTAGAAGTGTTTTTAAATTGCAAGAGATTTCCAGAAAACCTCTGAAAGAGAGGACTCAAGAATAGTTAAAAATACAAAATGAGATGGAGGGAAGTGGAAGGGAGAAGAGAGGAAGGGGAAATAAAAGAATTACGATGTTTTACGAGGCCCCATGATGCATGTAATCATTACACACAGCAAACATGTACCAATAAAAATAAATGTAGTCAAAATCACAGCATGGAGCCCAGGGATATAGCTCAGTAGCACAGTGACTGCCTAACAAGCATAAGGTCAGGAGTTCAATCCCCAGCACTAAAAATAAATAAATAAATAAAAAAGAAAGAAAAACCAAAATGACACACATATTGAAATGAAAATACTGTTTACCTGCCTAAATGCAACATTCAAGCTCTTAAACTTTTTACGGTTTAGTTTCCTGTCCTAACAATATTGCTGTAGAAAATCAAATACAAAGTTCAAAATTAGCCAAATGGTGGCATATGCCTATAATCCCAGCACTCACTCAGAGGCTGAGCCAAAAGGATTCCTATTAGTTCAAGGCCAGCCTGGGCTACACAGTGAGTTCAATGCCATCCTGAATTATGAAGTAAGACTCTGTCTCAAAAACACACACACACAGGAAAAACAAAACAAAATAAAACACAAAGTTCAAAATAACAGACAAAACTACTACCAAAATTAAACTTAGTCTGCCACACAAGAAAATTGTTTACATTGGTGATATTCTAATGAGGTCTCTGAACCGTTAAGTGCCACTTGACCTAACTCCAGCAGAAAAGATGTTTTTACCAGGAAACCAAGGATATCAAGGAACACAAGAATCAGAGATGGACAACAAAGTAGAAGAACAAGCAGAGTGCTTCCTGACTTCAACTCCCTCCTGCCAGCAGTGAATGAAAGTACCCATCTCACTGCATTCTGTCTACTTGTAATTGACATTCTGAAATATTTTTTACCTAAATTAACAGATTTTTTAAAACTACTAAATTCAGGGCAATAGCTGCCTCCAAAGAAGGATGGAAATGGTACTGCAGAATGGCTTACAGGGGCATTTCAACAACAGTTTTTAAATTGGTGCTATCGTCCAGTGTATTTTATATTTTCAACACAATTTGCAAATGTGGGTAATGTTCTGTATCTTAAAGACTGTTTAAGTTTCATTTTTCATTGTGCCCCCTGGCTGGTAGGTAAAATTAAACATTTTAAATATGCCGTTTCTTCTTTTGTAAACTATCCATACCCTTTGTGGGGGTATCCACTGAGTATCAGTGCTTTCACCACCAATTGCCATGATCTGTTTATAGGTTGTACAGTATGTATTGATCTTCTACTATCTTTTTTCATTAGTATGTATTTGCAATACAGAATAATCACATTCTTCATACCATCTTTTTGCATATTTCTATTGCATCTTTTAATGGGTAAACAAGTAAACTAAACTTTGAACTAAACAGACTACAGTATTATCTTTATTGAACATTCACACATACACACACAAATTACCTTGCAAATAATCTGCCAGGTCTCCACCATTGCAATACTGATATACAAAAGAAAAAAGTAATTAAAATAAGGACAGTGATTCAAGATAAATTTGATCTATTCCCAGTTAATTTTTGTTCTAAAAACCACTGGTATGAATACAAATCCACTTTTAAAACATTATGTAATCAAAACTTTAAATTCTCCATACCTTATACAGTCTAGATTGCAAAACTGATTTTATTAACTTTAAATTTCTAATACAGTAATAACCTAATGTCAATTTTAAAATGCATATTATCAAAAGGAATTTGGAATAAATCAAATAGAGGCTTACAAATACCTACCTCCATCACCAGAAAGACAGAGTTGGGTAATTCCTAAAAAGCAAACATTAAATATCACTTAGAAAAAATATCAAATGCTAAATTTAAAAATAATGATAGTTAACAAAAATACACTTGTTCATTACTAGCCAAGCATGGTGGTGCATGCCTGCAATCCCAGCACTCTGGAGACTGGATCAAGAGGGATGTTTTGAGGCCAGCCTAGACTATATAATGAGTTCAAGGCCAACCTGAACTAAACAGCAAAATTCTGTCTCAAAAAAAAACAAAAAACAAACAAATAAAAATACTCCTGTTCACTATTAAACCAGTAAATTCACAAAATCCACCATAAAGTGAAATTAAAATTCCCAACATGATTTAAGAATGATTTAAGATCTCCTCCTCAAAACCAAATCAAATTCTGATAACACTAATATAATCAAGAGTACAACTCTTGAGAGGTTATACAACTCACTGCTGAGGGGTACAACTCACTGCTGGAGTTCCAACTTAGCATGTGCAAGACCCCAACTTTGATTCCCAACACCATAAAAGAAAAAAAAAAAAAAAAAGGAAAAAATTTGGTTCTGTTTATGGCAAGAACTAAAGAAGGATTCAACTTTTGATTATGACTAACCTAAAACAACACATAAGACAAAAAAACAAGGTAAATCTACCACTTGTGAACGAAGAAAATTCTTTAATCCTTTGAGAAATGTTCCCATTTGGAAAGTTTCTCAGTAGCATTCTGGGTAGTAAAATAACTTATAATCCTCCCCAGCAATACTAAATACACATTCTGATCTCTGGAATATATCACCCAGGATATAGAGCTTTTTGTATTTCTAGTTTTTATTTATTTAGGATAATCTTACTAAGGAATAGCTGATAAAAAGATGTTTCATCATACATTACACAAAGATATGTTCTAAGACTTTAAGGAACTGATTTGAGAAATTTGACAACATCCCTCAAATGTATATAACTCCTGGTCTGCTGCTTAGATAAGTAATTCCAAGAGTGGTCTATTGACTCTTCAAAGAATTTTTATAACATTAACTAAATTTTAAATTGGGAGCCAGGTGTCATGATACACACTTGTATTCCCAGCAACTGGGAATCTGAGGCAAGAGAATTGCAATTTCAAGGCCAGGATGAGCTACACACTGAGTTCAAGATCTACCTGGAATACAGTGAGACCCTGCCTCAAAAGTATAAAAATAATAATAATAATAATTAAAAATAAAATTTAAACCAGGCTGCCCAGTGGCTTAACTTAAACCAGTGTTCAAATGTGATTGAAAGCAGAGTGCTTCCAAGTAGCACTGGGTTTCACCAAAGTCCTAAATGCAAATATAAGGTTCTATGGAAAAACAAAGAGGGACAGGACAAAAATCGGGCAGTTTACAGCAGCACTCCTCAGAGTCAGTTCAAGAACCAGTACTAGTTAAGAAAATACTTCACACTGCCCCATAATGAAATAACTACAGAAATTAAGAATTTGAAATGGTTTAAAGCAATTCTACAAAACAATTTTGACTGATCAACCTGATTATAGTAATTTGGGGCCCAGGATCACATGTAGTTCAGCATTACAGCACTTGGTATAGCGTCCACAACAGAATGTGCTCTATCTCTAGCATCAGAGGGAAAAAACCTTAATGTCAATTTAGGCCCTTTTTATTTCATCTCTGTAACAATTCATTCTTCCTGGATTTTAAGAAAGTATCAGTTCATCCAAACCAGAAATAAAAAATCTGGCTTCACCACAGGCCAGTCTTGTGTACTTCCCTGCAACAATGAGCAAACACAATAGGCTTGCTCAAAGTTTTGGGTTTTTTTTTTTTTTTTTTTTTTTTTTTTGGATACCAGGGATTGAACTCATGACCTCGCACTTACCAGGCAGGCACTTATGCCACTGAGCTAAATCTCCAGCCCTAGCACAAAGTTCTTTCACCATAGCCATTAAGGGACTGGACACTGTAGTACAAAACTTGAATGTGAAATTGTGTCTACAAGAAACTCAGTGACTCAAGATACTTGCTTCACTTACTTCTCAAGGACTAGATAAAAAACTAAAACACATTCATGCCAAAATTCCTTGATCCCAGAGGTATAAAAAAAAGCCCATAAAAATGGTTACCATTTACCCTCTGCTAAAGAACGAGGAGGCAGCTCCTGCCACAGCAGGATCCCAGCATGAAGAACCTAAAACAGATGCCTGCCTGCCTTCTCTTAACAGCAGCTCTTCTCCGACAAATCAGGAAGACAGAGAACAGCCAGCGCCCAGCAGGTTAGCAGATCAAGTGCTTCCTCTTATCAGAAATAAAAACAAAAAATACATTTCTAAGAGTTAAATCATCTGTTTTTGAACTACACAGTTTTCCTTGTGAAATCTGATCAAATCTAGACCAAAACATATGACCCCTAAAATTACTGAGAAATTAAATGCTGAGAACTTTCAATAATATTTTCTTTTATCAAGTATAAGTACAAAAATATTATCTCAAATTGGTGTTGCTTAATCATATCATAGTACCATATTCTAACTATTGCAGAGAAAAAGGAACTAAGAATTCATTAAGTCTTCTTTGTGTGTGTGCCGGGAATCAAACCCAGGACCTTGTCCTTGCCAGGCAGGTACTGCACTGTTGAGCAATATCCTCAGCCCCAGCAGCTAAGAATTCTTAAGAGGAGTCCTAAGAGTCATCATTAACTTGTGCTCACTCAAGAGAAAAGGTCAAATTCTTATTCTGGTATTCTCAATTTTGGACTTATACAAACTACTTTTCTTTGTTCAGTCACTCATCCAATAAAGAAATATTTTAATATCCTTGACCACTCATCCAAACCATCCTGTGTTTTTCTACCTTCAAAGCAGGGAGATCTCCACAGATTCAATCATTCTTTCTCTTAAATTGCCCCCACCTTCAGGCTCCCCCTACAAAATACTGTATATTTTTTTAAAACAAGGTACTTATGTAACTTGGAACATGAGTAGCTACAATAAATAGGACCAACAGTACCAGTGAAATCACCGATAGGCAAATTGAAACTCATGTAATACTGAGGCACCAGAAAAGAACTCAGAAGGAAAGTTACCTGAATGATCAGAAGGGCTGAGAAGTGAGACCCACATAACTAGCCACCAGACCACTGAGAGTTTACTACAGCTACACATGCACATTTCTCCTTTCCTGATATTCAGAAATCCTCACCCTCCGCTCCTCCAGCACTGCCATCAACAAAATAAACATCATGGGCATTTTATTCTATCATTTGCCCACTCAGCCCCCTTAATGACATAGATAGAAAACCTAAAAGAATCCAGAAATGAGCCCACGTGTATGTATGTGGCTGATATTTTTTATTTTTACATATTACTTGTACTAGTACACAATGTAAAAAATAAAATTTTTTCATGTAGTCACCTTGAAATTCCTGACTGATAATTCAGATTTTTTAGTACATTTGCCCTCATGGTATCTCATTCTACAACCAATTCCAATATTTAAAAATACTTTTCATTCTGATAGGAAAAAAAATCTAAATATTCTCTGCTCAGAAAGAGAAACCTATCTCTCAATAGCAAGAATTTTCTGAACCTCTCCAAGAATGGCAAATTAACAGTTAATATTTCTTAACAATTTTTGTACTAGGCACCAACTTGTACCAATTGTTGCCCTCTATCTATAGAGAATACGAAAGACAAACTACACAAACAACTCTGAGTAGAATGGACATTTCAACTAGGACTGTGAGATGAGTTTAGTTTTTGAAGTTTTTCCCTCCTTCTCACAGTGCTTTAATTCTGATTCATACCCATTTAAACAGGTAATAAAATACACCCACAGCACTCATATATCCCATGCATAGTAGTTTAAACTGCAATACTTCTAGAAAGCAAGCATACTCTATGATCAAATTTTCTTTTTGACCTGGTAATTCCAATTCTAGAAACTGAACTATAATAATAAAAGATATATTATTTTATTGCATTTTTCTATAATTGGAAAAAATTTTCTTTAAAATGGGAAAAACAACTCACTATAGCTTATAATATGAGTTTAGTTAAACACTTTTTGGTCAGCTATGACCGTGTGAAGAATGACTACATAAAAAATATATCTAAAACAGTCCATTTTTTCCCAACCCACTAAAATTAAACACACTAAGAACAAGGACTATTTTATTCACTACTTTACACCTACCACTCAGAATAATGACTGACACATTGTAACCATTCCAAAATTTGCAAAATGAATTTAAATAATGTAAATAAATACAAAAAAGTTATAGCTAAGTATTTTTACTGGAATTCAACTGTGCAAACTAAGCAAAACATAAGAAAGACATCTGAACTACATGTAATAGCCTGCCCTGAAAAATGGAGGGAAAATCTAAACCTACTGTTCCCTCCACATCCCTCAATGCCTTCAGCTCTCACAGTGAACACCACATTAAGTGTGGCTAGCATATAAGAGAGAATTTTTTAAATATAATATGATCCCTAAATATAGCAAATAGTACATCTGGAGTTCCACTCAAAAAATAGTACTTTCTCCAACACTGACCTCTGAAAAGGGTAATTCTGACTATAGAAAAATTTTACTTTAGAAAATTACATTAGAGTTGGGCATGGTGGTGCACACTTGTAATCCCAGCACGTGGGAGACTGAAGCAGGAGGATCCTTGGGAGTTCGAAACCAGCCTGGGCTACAAAGTAAGCTCAAGGTCAGCCTGAACTGCATAGCAAGACCCTGCCTCAAAAAGACAAAACACACACACACACACACACACACACACACACACACACACAAAATGCAGTTTCCCCAGCTCCAGATAAAACATGATTCTAATGCCACACTGATAATCACAGATATATCTGGATTATGAATGTGCCTAAGAGCCTTGTTTTTATTCATCTTATTTCCTAACATTTCCATGATTTATAAATGTTGCTTTCCATGATTTATAAATGTTGCTAAGAAAAAAGTTCCACTTAATTTTTCAATAGGCTACAATACACTTTCTATATCACAGAAATGCTAGATCTGGCATTTCCCTACTTGACCTAACAAACTATCCTGACAGTACATTATCAACTGTTAATAAGTGTACCCACGCTGCACATTATTTTAGACTATTGATCCATATTTTAAACAATTTCTTAACAGCGTAACTCAAACTATATGTCTCTTCAAAAAGAATTAAGCCAATTGTAAAATTTCTGGTAAGAATCACCTCAATTTGTATAAAAAAGAACTTTTAAAAATGCAAAATAAGATACCTGAACATCATAGAGTGCTACAATATTTTCATGTTGAAGTTCCTGTTAAAGAAATTAAGACTTCAGGTTAGCAAGTATTCTAGCAATTTTAATACTTCAATATGCAAGTGCAAATTAAGTACACACATATATTTACTATTTCTAGCAAATTACATCTAAAAATTCAATCTACTAAAAACCAAAATGTGCCTAATCAAACTTTACACAGGGCCAAAATATTTTTTACAACACCACCATTTTGCAGGATCCTAACAAAGTCAGTATTCTTGTTTACAAAACAAACGCAACTGTCAGAATGGCCACAGACTTACTACCACACTTAAATCTCTAACATCAACAGAAAATCAAAATTCCAAAGTGCTTTTAAAAAGTGTATTATCTGCCTAAAAGAAAGTATATTTCTCAACTCTAAAAGCTTAAATCTTACCAAAAAATTCTCCACAAGGAAGGATGGAAAGTTCCACACCGTGAAACTGAATTAAATATGCTAAAACTGGGAGAATTCTTCACTGTCTTTAGTGAGCGATGTGTTTTGTAACTGTCCAACTATTCAGTTAAACAAGACTTTCCAAATGTATGTGACCATGCAATTCTTTTTTTCCTGAAAACATCTCACTTGGGTAATTGTGGCTAGGTGTAATATAAAAAAACTATCTCCAAGGGGGAAAAAAACCTTCAATTCAAAAAAAAAAAAAAGTGGTCCCATTCCTCCCAAAGAAACTTAACTGTAAAGTGAAAAGGGTTAACAGAAGAGATGAACAACAAACTAGATATATTAACCTGCCTAATCCTCTTCTCAAATAGTAACCTGGTAACTGAAAAAGCAAAAAATTGAAACACTAAAATCAGTTTTCATGGAATCTCTTTAAAGTTGGCCAAGAGCCACAAATATGTATTAAAAAATAGTTGTCAGTCAGGCATGGTAGTACATGCCTACAATCTCAGCATAAGAGGCTGAGATAGGAGGATCACTGTGAGTTTGAGGCCCCTCCTAGGCTACATAATGAGTTACAGGCCAGCCTGAACTACACAGCAATACCTTATTCCAGAAAACAAAACAAAACTCTGGCTTCAGTGTATTCACTGCTTCAAAAACCAGCATATAAAAATGAGCAGCTGAAAATTATCAAAACTTGTGCCCATCTACCAATTGCAAAGGATGCCATCATATAATTTAATTTAGAATAAGTTTTGGTGTAGTGTGTTATACTATACAAAGTAACATACCTTTAAGATTTTAATTTCCTTTCCAAGCAGTATTTGTGATTTTGACAAGTTCTTTTTATTAATGCTTTTAATAGCTACCTCCCAATCAGTTTTCTGAAAAGGAAAAACAGGATTACTCCCAGGAAGTATTACACACAAACAGAAAAAAAAATCTATAAGCACAAAATGTTTTTAGCAACAGATAAAATGTGCAACACTGGGGATAAATAAAAAAGAACCTCAGTCTCCAGCAATAGGAAAATTATTTCACAAATCAGTTTAACAAGTCAACGTTCTAAACACTGCTACTAAAAATAGTAAATGTGAAGATTACATCGGAACTAGCACCAACTTTAAAAAAAAAAAAAAGGAAATCACAGTTTACAACCGCATATAAACTATGGAAAAAGGTGATTTATATAAACTTGGAAAGTAGTATGGTTAGTTGAAAACAGTGCTGCTATTTTAGGTGGATTATTATGTCTTTTAATTTTTTCCTTGAGTTTTAAGTTGTTTTCACAATAAATAAAAAGTAAGCAACAAAGAGAGTGCCCTTTGAACATGGTCCTTGGCAACAATCACAACAGTCAAAGCCTTTATGATTATTTCCACTCTCCAAGCTTTTCCACATTCTTTAGATTCTAAAACCTCATGTGACCCTTACTTGTGAAACAGCAGAGGGTTTTTTTGGTGTGGTTTTTTTTTTTTTGGTTTTTTTTTTTTTTTTTTTTTTTTCCTTTCCTTAGGCTTGAACATGTTCTGTTCGTTTATTTGGATGGAAAACGAAGCTTCCAACTATTTTTTCCACTGTAAGTCCGCCTAACCCAGGAGGAGTAACATAGTACCTGGCTGGTCGGGTTGTAGGAAAACCAATGTGGGAAAAGTGATACCTCCCAGTTTGAGAAACCCTAAAGCTAATGGGAAAGCTGCCCATTTTCCACAGTCTGCAAACATCAACCTCAGAGGTGACAAGCCCTGGCAGATCCCGGCAGAGAGGAGAGGACCAAAGGTCTGTCCACGCTCGAGCATCGAAGGATGCAAGGACTGTTCAGTCTTTTGAGGTCCACAGTAACTTCAGGTGGAAAGGTTTCTCCGTGCGACAAATAAGGGCGAATCCCTGAGCGCACTCTGGTTACCAAGCACACTGACAAGGAGGGGACCATCAGTGGCCTGGCGCCCGTCGGTAGGTGGAGCGCTGCCTAGAAGCTCAGCCTCAAAACAATCCTCGCAAGACCAAAACAAACCCCGCGACACTGACAGCGCACACAAAGGCAGGCCCAGGGCAGCAAGCCAAGGGGTGGTGGTGGTGAGGTCTTGGCTCTAGCGGCTTCGCCAAATCTCAGGACGCCCCTCGTCCGGTTCACACCCAGGGGTCCCGACCTCCAACGGGCCGGCAGGGTTGGCGGCGCTCACCTGACGGTGCCGCCCCCGAAAGACCACGGCGAAGGCCCCGTGTCCCACGAGGTCCCTCTTGCTGTACTCGAAGTCGCCCACCACCTCCATGGCCGCGCCCCGGAGGCATACAGCGGGCGGGCAGGCAGCTCAGAGCAGCGCGCCGCAACGGGATCAGCACCGCGGGCCCGCGGGCCCTGAGCGCGCCCGCGGGCGGCGGGAAGGGGGCAGACGCGGCCCCGGACCCGGGCGGACGCTCATGCCGACAAGCCGGAGCGGAAACGAAGGAGGCTGACGTGAGGAGCCGGGGTCACCGTGGCCTAGCCCGGCCCCGGCCGCTCCTCATGGCCCGGCCTGCCGCCGGCCGCGGGGTCTCTAGCGAAGCGGCCTCGCAGCTGCCGGGCTAGAGGCGCTACCACCGTCACTGGGCGCCCCCAGAGCCGCAAGCGCGCCCAGGGGAAGGGCACGGTCCAGGCCGCCCCATCCCCAGCTGGTCCGGCCGCCTTGGCCCTCTCCGCTCGGGTCCGGTCACCGCTGCTCTGGGGCCGCCGCCCTAGAACCCTCACAACCCCAGCCCCCCGCGCCTCCCAGCTCGCGTTCGAGCCGCACGAACACACTCGCGCACTTGCCGCTCCCGCGCCGACTGCCGGCCCTCCGCGACGTCACCGCGCCTTGTAGGACGTAGCGCGCTGCCAGATCGGCTCCTTCCGCCAAGAAAAGGAGTCCGCGCTGGGGGCAAGGCAACCCCAGCAGAAGCCACTTTGTGGTCGCTGAACGAAGAAACGAGGATGCAAGCCCTGCGCTGACCCAGGGACCAGATGGAGATGGGCACGCCCTGGTTTCTAGCCTACTGAAAGCAGGTTTTCACAGAAGCTGGTTGTGAACTCCACCTGCAGGCAGGACGATGGTCTCTGCTCGTGCAGCGTGGACTCCAAGGATCCAGGGAGAGCAAAGGAGAAACTCCTAAAGCCGACCTTGCACACTCCCTCACAAGCCTGAAGACACACTGCCAAACTGCTGTCCTTCTCCCACCTCTCTCAGGCTTTGCTCTCTTGGCGGTCCCTTAAGGGATAGTGTCTGTCAGAAATGGGGGTGGAGGAAGACGACTCAGAGAAAAGTTAATGACAGCGAAGGATCCTCTTCCTGAAGAAATGTTTATGTACAGACTCATGTTGTCCACTTCCTATGTGCTGCCAGTTTGGCAGGTATCCCTTAAATGGTTTTTAGGGGCTTTCTTTTGTAGAAATTACTGATTACTAAGACTATGCAACTGACATGGAACTTGCTAACTTCCCCCCAAGGGAACACACTTTCTATAAAATATGCTTGAAAATTCAGTTTTAACTCTTCAGTGTATGTCTGGATTTTTAGAGTGTTGCTTTCAGGTTATCGTACATTGCACCTGTCTGCAAACACATCTCTGAAGATCAGGCAGGAGCACTAAAACCTGCCAGATTTGAGACGGCCCAGAATTTTGAGATAAACTTCTGATTCAGTCCATTTTCTGCTGTTAGTAACAATACTACAGACTAGTTAAGTATTAGGTCACTTTCCATTACTATAACAAGTCACCTGAGGCTGAAGTGTGGTGTTTGCAGTGCTCCAAGTCTGTTAGCCTATTTAGGAATCTGAGGTTGGAGGATGCCCAGCCTAGGCTATTTAGGAAGACTTTGTCTCAAAATAAAAAAGACTGGGGATGTAGTTCAATGGAGGAGCATTCCTGGGTTCAGTGCCCCCCGACACACACACACACACACACAACCTGAGGCCAGGAACTTTATAAAAAGGTTTGTTTCACTCACAATTTTGGAAGCTGATAGACCGCACAGCATGGCACCAGCTCTGGCAAGAGCCTCAGAGTAAATGGCATTATAATATGAGCCCATGGAGAGTGGAGATCACATGGCCAAAAAGTCAGAGAGTGAGAAGGAGCCAGTTTTGCTGTCATAATTCACTCTGGACAAAGCTAACTGGGTTCCAAGAGAGCTACGTGAATCCCTTCCAAGGGCAGCACTCCCAAAGACCTCTCGCTAATCTCAAATCTTAAAGCTTTTACCACCTCAGCACCACCACATTGAGAAACAAAGGTCCCAGTACATGAACATGTGGGAGATACACTTAAGTAATATTCACCCCACAGCAGTAGGTTATAAAGGAAGAAGGTTTATTTTGGCTCACAGTCCCAGGTTTAAAGATGAGGGCTGCATCTGTGTGTGTGTGTGTGTGTGTGTGTGTGTGTGTGTGTGTGTGTGTGTGTATCTGCTTGCACGTGTTACTGGGTATTGAACCTAGGACCTTTTCATTGATCCACAACCCCATCCTGTTTCTATTTTTGAGACAAGGTCTCATAAAGTTGCTAAATAGCCCAGCCTGAGCTCAAACTTAATGATCCTCCTGCCTCAGTCTCTCAGAGTCTCTCTAGGCAATGCCTTTGTTGCTGGCAGAGTCCTGAGATGGCCCAAGGTATCAGGCTCTGCGGAAGAGACCTAGCCAAACTGCTCCCTGCTCCCCACTGCTAGGCAATTAAACTCAAGAGCTTCACCATTCTAAGCAGGTGCTCTAGCCCTGAACTACACCCCTAAACCCAAACTGGCTGACACAGCAGGCTCATCCTCAAGATAACATATTCATCTAGTAAAGGAGTGAATGGTTATTCCATTCATGCGGACAGAGCACCAATCACTTCCTACAGGTTCTACTTCTATCTCATAATGAGAAATAAATTTCAGCATCAGTTTCAGAAGGGACAAACCAATTCTCAGACCATGGCGCTCTCCTTCCTCACACCTCAAAATGTTGGCTTTGGATTCCTGCTCTCACTACTGAATACTCTTGCATACACTTAATTTTACTTCAAAAATCTGGCCCAGGTGGTTGTGTTAGATACTCAAAGTCTGGATCCTTCAAAAATCAAGAATCAAGGACTGGGGATATAGCTCAGCGGCACAGTGCCTGCCTGGAAAGTTCAAGGTCCTGAGTTCCATTCCTGGTACCAAAAAACTTTTTTGAAAAAACATCAAGTTAAGCAGCTATACATATAATTGATTTGGAGATGATTCCTTACCTCACTGAAAAATTCTCTATAGTCTATCTTTATGCATTTAAATGGGATATATGATTTGATTTGATTTTATTATTATTTTTTGTACCAAAAATTGAATCCAAACTTCATGCTTGCCAGGCATGCACCGTGCCACTGAGCTACATCCCTGGCCCCAATACAATTTTAATGTTCTAAAATTCACTAAATGATAGCCTTTGAGAATATAAATCTTGAAAGCTATAGGGCCCTAAACAAGTTATTTAACCTGCCATGCCTCAGTTTCTCCTCTGTGAACTGAGGATAAGAACAGTCGCTAGCTTATTAAGTAGATGGTTAAGTGCAATCAAAGCTAGCATTAGGAGCGCCTCTCCAGACTCAAAACAGCACCCTCAGGATCTTTCCCCCTCTCTTTCATCCACTCCCCCTGTGGTTTTTGGGTGCAGACCAAATTATTCAGCTTCAGGAATAGACCACATATACCTGCAAAGGGGTAGATTACCCAACATACACCTGAAGAATTCACGTCTGTAAACCTCCTTTGCAAAGGAGTGAGTATACTCGGGCAGCCAGGATGTAACAAGAGAAGGAGACAGCAGAGCTCCAGCAGAGCTAGCAGAGTTCTTGCAAAGTGCCTGGTAGCAGCCAGCCTCACAGGAAGCTCAAGGAAAACTCATACTGGTTGCCCAGGGGTGGTTAGACCTGCTGACTTCGGCCTACATAGACAACAGCACTCAGGCTTTCAGCGGGTCACTGCACTGTCCGTAGAGAACAGTATAACTTTCGTTGTCTAAACCGACGATATTTTACGTAGCATATATTTTACCCTGAAAAGTCCCACTGAAGATTTCCAAAACTAAGTTTATCATGGTGGCACGCACCTGTAAACCTGCACTTTGGGAAGCTGAGGCAGGAGGACTGCAAGTGTGACCCAGCCTAGGCAACTCAGCAACTTAATGAGATCCTGTCTCAAAAAAAAAAGTGGGGGGGCCGGGGATTTAGCTCAGTGGCATAAGCGCCTGCCTTGCAAGTGTGAGGTCGTGAGTTCGATCCCTGGTACTGATAAAAATGAAAAAGACAAAAAAAAAAAAAAAAAAAAAGGCTACATATGTAGCTCAATGCAAAGGCCTTGAGTTCAATCTCCAGTACAGCCCAACCCCCCCCAAAAAAAACACTCCCAAACTTTCATTCACAAGATTGCTCGGCTAGAAATTGAAATTAACCATAATTAACATTTAATTTGAGATGAATCCTGAGTATCAAAATGTATATCCATATGTATAATAATTTTGAGGTTTCTATGTATCTATGTATTGGGGTTTTTTTCAGAGAGGGTCCCTCTGTGTACTTTTGGCTGGCCTGAACTCATGGCAATCTTCCTGCCTCAGCTTCCCAAGTGCTGGGATTATAGGCATACATCACCACTCCGACTATACATAATTTTGAGATATTTATAGTTAATGCCACTAAAGTTACATACCAACACTAGAACATTACAAAGGTGTTAAAAAGCCTTTAAAGTGCAGGCCTTTAAAGTGGACACATCTTGCACCTTGTATATATAGTCCAAGCATGTGTAGCTTGCAAACTTGAGGATTTTTGACCTTGAGGGTCATTATTGAAAAGAAGTGGTAAGAGTTGGAGAAGCTCTGTTAATTAAATGTTTAGTTGGGACTATATGGGTTGCAAATAACAAACATCAAATGTGATAAAATAGGAGCTGGGGATTTAGCTCAGGGCATAAGCAACTGCCTTGCAAGCAAGTGGTCGTGAGTTCAATCCCCGGTACCAATAAAAAGATTTTTTAAAATGTGATAAAGATTAGAGATAAAGATACAGCTGTGCCTCTCAAAGTCTCCAGGCAATGCTTCCAAAGAAAACTACCAAAAGAATCACGGACCTGCACAGGACTGCTGGGTTCCTGCCTCATTCTTCTCATAGCTGAAAGATAAGCACTGACAGCCACCAGCCCAAAACCCAAATCCTTAAGGAAGAAGTTCTAATCATGTCAACTTTAGTCAAGTGATCAACAACTCATCCAACGCTGGGGAGAGGGGTGGAAGGAGGCTGGGCCCCCTCATATAACCCTGGCTGCTCTCGACACAGCCAGTGGGTGTTAGAGAGAGGCTATTCCCCAGGATCAGGAACTGAAGAAGCACCCCACAGTGTGCACTACAGTTAGAATTTAGGTTTTATTCAAGAATAGAAGCAAGGAAGGATGTCTAGTTTGCCTCTGAAATCAAACTTGATTTTCATTCTCTATTTGTCCTATTACTGCCTGGGAATTTTGAGTTGTGTATATATATATACATGTATGAAAATATGATAAACTGTTAAAATATTTCAGTACCCATTAACAAATAGTATAATAATAACTGCAACAACAACTAAAATTAATGGCCAATATAAACTCATTAGGGGCCAGGGATATAGCTCAGTGGCTCACTGCCTGCCTGGCAAGCACAGGATCAAGAGTTCGATTCCCAGAACTGGGCTCTGTGTGTGTGTGTGTGTGTGTGTGTGTGTGTGTGTGTGTATTCATTAGTTGATCAAATGCTGTGTGATTTTCTAATGGTCAGGGTCTTTCAACACTAATCAATGTGATGGCCAGGGATA